ATAGTGTCCACACCCGCCTACACTGCTAAATCATGTCAACACCAGCCTACATTGCTAAATCTTGTCTACACCTGCCTACACTGCTTAATAGTGTCTACACCTGCCTACATTGCTAAATCATGTCAACACCAGCCTACATTGCTAAATCTTGTCTACACCTGCCTACACTGCTTAAGCATGTCAACACCTGCCTACATTGCTAAAACTTGTCCACACTTGCCTACATTGCTATATCTTGCCTACACTTGCCTACATTGCTAAATCATGTCAACACCAGCCTACATTGCTAAATCTTGTCTACATTTGCCTACACTGCTAAATAGTGTCTACACCTGCCTACATTGCTAAATCATGTCAACACAAGCCTACTTTGCTAAATCTTGTCTACACCTGTCTACATTGCTACATCATGTCAACACCTGCCTACATTGCTAAATCGTGCCTACACCTGCCTACACTGCTAAATAGTGTCTACACCTGCCTACATTGCTAAATCTTGTCTACACCTGCCTACACTGCTAAATAGTGTCTGCACCTGCCTACATTGGTAAATCATGTTAACACCAGCCTACACTGCTAAATCTTGTCTACACCTGCCTACACTGCTTAATAGTGTCTGCACCTGCCTACATTGCTAAATCATGTCAACACCAGCCTACACTGCTAAATCTTGTCTACACCTGCCTACACTGCTAAATAGTGTCTGCAACTGCCTACATTGCTAAATCATTTCAACACCAGCCTACATTGCTAAATCTTGTCTACACCTGCCTACACTGCTAAATAGTGTCTGCACCTGCCTACATTGCTAAATCATGTCAACACCAGCCTACACTGCTAAATCTTGTCTACACCTGCCTACACTGCTAAATAGTGTCCACACCCGCCTACACTGCTAAATGATGTCAACACCAGCCTACATTGCTAAATCTTGTCTACACCTGCCTACACTGCTAAATAGTGTCTACACCTCTCTACATTGATAAATCATGTCAACACCAGCCTACATTGCTAAATCTTGTCTACACCTGCCTACACTGCTAAAGCATGTCAACACCTGCCTACATTGCTAAAACTTGTCCACACTTGCCTACATTGCTATATCTTGCCTACACTTGCCTACATTGCTAAATCATGTCAACACCAGCCTACATTGCTAAATCTTGTCTACACCTGTCTACATTGCTACATCATGTCAACACCTGCCTACATTGCTAAATCTTGTCTACACCTGTCTACATTGCTACATCATGTCAACACCAGCCTACATTGCTAAATCTTGTCTACATCAGCCTACACTGCTAAATAGTGTCTGTACCTGCCTACATTGCTAAACCATGTCAACACTAGCCTACACTGCTAAATCTTGTCTACACCTGCCTACACTGCTAAATAGTGTCCACACCCGCCTACACTGCTAAATCATGTCAACACCAGCCTACATTGCTAAATCTTGTCTACACCTGCCTACACTGCTTAATAGTGTCTACACCTGCCTACATTGCTAAATCATGTCAACACCAGCCTACATTGCTAAATCTTGTCTACACCTGCCTATACTGCTAAAGCATGTCAACACCTGCCTACATTGCTAAAACTTGTCCACACTTGCCTACATTGCTATATCTTGCCTACACTTGCCTACATTGCTAAATCATGTCAACACCAGCCTACATTGCTAAATCTTGTCTACATTTGCCTACACTGCTAAATAGTGTCTACACCTGCCTACATTGCTAAATCATGTCAACACAAGCCTACATTGCTAAATCTTGTCTACACCTGTCTACATTGCTACATCATGTCAACACCTGCCTACATTGCTAAATCTTGTCTACACCTGCCTACACTGCTAAATAGTGTCTACACCTGCCTACATTGCTAAATCTTGTCTACACCTGCCTACACTGCTAAATAGTGTCTGCACCTGCCTACATTGGTAAATCATGTTAACACCAGCCTACACTGCTAAATCTTGTCTACACCTGCCTACACTGCTTAATAGTGTCTGCACCTGCCTACATTGCTAAATCATGTCAACACCAGCCTACACTGCTAAATCTTGTCTACACCTGCCTACACTGCTAAATAGTGTCTGCACCTGCCTACATTGCTAAATCATGTCAACACCAGCCTACACTGCTAAATCTTGTCTACACCTGCCTACACTGCTAAATAGTGTCTGCACCTGCCTACATTGCTAAATCATGTCAACACTAGCCTACACTGCTACATCTTGTCTACACCTGCCTACACTGCTAAATAGTGTCCACACCCGCCTACACTGCTAAATGATGTCAACACCAGCCTACATTGCTAAATCTTGTCTTCACCTGCCTACACTGCTAAATAGTGTCTACACCTGCCTACATTGCTAAATCATGTCAACACCAGCCTACATTGCTAAATCTTGTCTACACCTGCCTATACTGCTAAAGCATGTCAACACCTGCCTACATTGCTAAAACTTGTGAACACTTGCCTACATTGCTATATCTTGCCTACACTTGCCTACATTGCTAAATCATGTCAACACCAGCCTACATTGCTAAATCTTGTCTACATTTGCCTACACTGCTAAATAGTGTCTACACCTGCCTACATTGCTAAATCTTGTCTACACCTGCCTACACTGCTAAATAGTGTCTGCACCTGCCTACATTGGTAAATCATGTTAACACCAGCCTACACTGCTAAATCTTGTCTACACCTGCCTACACTGCTTAATAGTGTCTGCACCTGCCTACATTGCTAAATCATGTCAACACCAGCCTACACTGCTAAATCTTGTCTACACCTGCCTACACTGCTAAATAGTGTCTGCAACTGCCTACATTGCTAAATCATTTCAACACCAGCCTACACTGCTAAAACTTGTCTACACCTGCCTACACTGCTAAATAGTGTCTGCACCTGCCTACATTGCTAAATCATGTCAACACTAGCCTACACTGCTAAATCTTGTCTACACCTGCCTACACTGCTAAATAGTGTCCACACCCGCCTACACTGCTAAATCATGTCAACACCAGCCTACATTGCTAAATCTTGTCTACACCTGCCTACACTGCTTAATAGTGTCTACACCTGCCTACACTGCTAAATCATGTCAACACCAGCCTACATTGCTAAATCTTGTCTACACCTGCCTACACTGCTAAAGCATGTCAACACCTGCCTACATTGCTAAAACTTGTCCACACTTGCCTACATTGCTATATCTTGCCTACACTTGCCTACATTGCTAAATCATGTCAACACCAGCCTACATTGCTAAATCTTGTCTGCATTTGCCTACACTGCTAAATAGTGTCTACACCTGCCTACATTGCTAAATCATGTCAACACAAGCCTACATTGCTAAATCATGTCAACACCAGCCTACATTGCTAAATCTTGTCTACATTTGCCTACACTGCTAAATCTTGTCTACACCTGTCTACATTGCTACATCATGTCAACACCTGCCTACATTGCTAAATCTTGTCTACACCTGCCTACACTGCTAAATAGTGTCTGCACCTGCCTACATTGCTAAATCATGTCAACACCAGCCTACACTGCTAAATCTTGTCTACACCTGCCTACACTGCTAAATAGTGTCTGCACCTGCCTACATTGCTAAATCATGTCAACACCAGCCTACACTGCTAAATCTTGTCTACACCAGCCTACACTGCTAAATCTTGTCTACACCTGCCTACACTGCTTAATAGTGTCTGCACCTGCCTACATTGCTAAATCATGTCAACACCAGCCTACACTGCTAAATCTTGTCTACACCTGCCTACACTGCTAAATAGTGTCTGCACCTGCCTACATTGCTAAATCATGTCAACACCAGCCTACACTGCTAAATCTTGTCTACACCTGCCTACACTGCTAAATAGTGTCTGCACCTGCCTACATTGCTAAATCATGTCAACACTAGCCTACACTGCTAAATCTTGTCTACACCTGCCTACACTGCTAAATAGTGTCCACACCCGCCTACACTGCTAAATCATGTCAACACCAGCCTACATTGCTAAATCTTGTCTACACCTGCCTACACTGCTAAATAGTGTCTACACCTGCCTACATTGCTAAATCATGTCAACACCAGCCTACATTGCTAAATCTTGTCTACACCTGCCTATACTGCTAAAGCATGTCAACACCTGCCTACATTGCTAAAACTTGTCCACACTTGCCTACATTGCTATATCTTGCCTACACTTGCCTACATTGCTAAATCATGTCAACACCAGCCTACATTGCTAAATCTTGTCTACATTTGCCTACACTGCTAAATCTTGTCTACACCTGTCTACATTGCTACATCATGTCAACACCTGCCTACATTGCTAAATCTTGTCTACACCTGTCTACATTGCTACATCATGTCAACACCAGCCTACATTGCTAAATCTTGTCTACACCTGCCTACACTGCTAAATAGTGTCTACACCTGCCTACATTGCTAAATCATGTCAACACCAGCCTACGCTGCCAAATCCTGTCTACACTTGCCTACATTGCTAAATCCTGTCAACACTTGCCTACACTGCTAAATCATGTCTACATTTTCCTACATTGCTCAATCATTTCTACATTTGCCTACACTGCTTAATCTAGTCTACGTTTGCCTACATTTCTAAATCTTGTCTACATTTGCCTCCATTGCTATATCTTGTCTACACCTGCCTACATTGCTAAATCTTGTCCACACTTGCCTACATTGCTAAATCTGTCTACACATGCCTACACTGCTAAATAGTGTCTACACCTGCCTACATTGCTAAATGATGTGTACACTAGCCTACATTGCAAATATTGTCTACGTTTGCCTACATTGCCAAATCTTGTCTACTTTTGCCTACACTGCTAAATCTTGTCTACACTTGCCTACATTGCTTAATCATGTCAACACCAGCCTACACTGCTAAATCTTGTCTCCACCTGCCTACACTGTTTTCTCGTGCCTACACTTCTCACACCTACCTCACTCACTCACTCACCGTAAACTGTTGTTCTGCCTTTCAGATGGTCTAACTCCGCCTTGGTCATGGCGCCGTCCAGTTCCTCTCCGTCTAGTTTCCTCTCAGTGGTGTCATGCTTCCTCGCAAACTCCGACACTTTCTTGTTTGTGTCGCTTCGGTGGTTTTTGAACTCCGCATATGTCGAATTTGCCCACACAATGTGACCGTTAAGTAGACTACCAGTTTTATCTGTGGCCTGCTTAACGTCTTCAGCTGTCTTACTAAGATGCCCTATCTGGGACTTTAGGTCAGGTATTACGGTATCCTGGACAACCCCTTTCCACCTCTCATGCTGGACAGTACTGTCCTCTACTTTCACAAGCTTCGAGTTGGTTTCAGTAAGTTTCGTACTAGTTTCAGTAAGTTTCGTATTGGTTTCAGTGAGTTTCGTACTGGTTTCAGTAAGTTTTGTTTTCGTTTCAGTAAGATCCTTGTTTACGTCTTCAATGGAGTTTTCCAGCTTCTTAACCTTGGCTTCAACCCCACTCAAATCTGTCCCATCATTGCTGTGTGCACCGGCGGAGCTAATAGTTTCCAAATCTCGATAATTGTCCTTCAGATAAATCAAAGGTTCGGACATATGACTGGGATCGTCAAAAACTGATTCAAGTCTAGCAATCCACTTGTTGTCTCGAAGATGTTTGAATTGCTGCTTTAGGTTCTCGAACTGACTCTCAAGGTGGGTCAAATCTGGCGTAACACATTCCTCCCTTACACCGTTTTTACACACGTTATTCGAGTTCTTTCGTGTCAGTAATTTCTGAATACATTTCTTGGCGTTCGCGGCGTCGTTTCCGCATTGACCTTTGAGAACGTCCAACAGAGCGCGCTCGGTGTGGTCGGGTGTTGTACAGTGTACACACAACAGGTAGATCACGACTAGGAATATAATACCCTCCAATGCAGGCCTCCTAACAGACGAAAAACAGAAATATCAGAAATAATTAACACATATGCATAATGCATGTTGACAAGAGGCGACTAACGGGATCGGGTGGTGAGACTCGCTGACTTGGTTGATGCAAATCATCGTATCCCAATTGCGTGGATCGATGCTCATGATCCAGACTCGATTACATACCGCCATATAGCTTGAATATTGCTGGGTGCGGTGTTAAACAACAAACAATCAAACAAACAGCATATGGAAAACCATGTCCCGTAAAACGGAAGCTGAAGGTTATTTCAAGGAAATATTATTTCCATTTCTTTAAAGTTGTGTGTCTGTGTGTGTCTCTCTTTCTGCACAATCTTATCATGCAGATTGTAGCTGACATGTAGGAGGTCCCCGAGAGGTTATGAAAGATGGTATTGAATCGTGTGAAAGGCCACAGGCCCAAATACATAAAGTGCATGCAATACAGTACAGAATCATTTTACAAATAGATTCACGTGTTTTAGGTCAGTACATTTCTGATCTTGAAGGCATATTTGAAAGATAACACAAAATATTTTAGACATTGATAATTTGTGATAGAAAATAATAATTTAATTTAAAGTTTTGTACGAATTCCCCATTACAGGATTAACATAAATTTGTAATCGAAATATATTAAAATGTCATCAACGTTGCAGAATGGTGATAAAGCAAATAAGAGTTGCATGGACTACATTGTAATTATAACATCCTGAACACTCTTGTCATCCCTATGCATATATTTGTTACAGCAGCGAGTTGAACTTATTATGAACATACAAAAATAATTACAAGAACATGCCTCTAACGAAACATTAAACATACAATGACACGGTCAAAGCGTCTTTGAGCATACATTTGCTGCTTAAATGTTTTATATCATGCAACAAATAAATGACTAAACACACAAAAACCTTATAAAGCATTTAGTCATGAATAGTTTACTTACACATAAGGCAATATGGTATCCCGAAGTCTGTCGCTCTGTATCTCTTGGTCCGGCAGGTTTGGAGGTTCGGATTGATCTGTACCTGATGTTGTGCTTGGTTTGTCTGGAGTTGCCTCCCTTCGTCCGCGCCGGCGAGGCCCAGGTTTGTCCATGCTTGGCGGTAGGTCGAGTGTCCGTTTGGACAACTGTGTGTCTGAATCTGTCACGCTCACAAGATGTGTTGGTTTGGTCGACTCGATCTGGCTCTGTAGATACGAGTCCACCAGCTACACCTGAACGCCACGAATCCGTCAGACAAACCGCAACGAGCGATAGACTGGGAATCCCTCAAGGAACTATGTAGCAGGTGACCCCTGACCCCGGCCCTGGAACGAGCATGTTTATACAGCGCAGTGACCTGATACGATTACTAAGAAACCGAAACAACACCAGCAGCGCTGACGCATGCGTTTATCTGCAAAATAAGCTCGCGTTATATCTGACATATATCTCGGATTTTGTAATATCGACTAGATATGTTTTCAGCTTCACGTGCAAAACCAGATATCTTTTTTAAAATCAAAACTGTGAGCCTAAATATTTTTGTTTTATGTTGCACACAATTTATATTTCAACAGTTTTTCAAAAATTATTGAGCACAATTTATTTATTTTCATAAATTCCCAGGCTTCAAGACTTACAATTTCTCTCGGGTCGGTCTCTTATAACATACACACAAACATAAATGTCGTTATTGTATTGTTTTATTTACTGTCCTAACAGGTTCACAAATGGACGGGTTTATTTTTACCGACAAGCCACACCTTCTCAATCAAACCACAAAGACAATAGAAAAATAATAAACGATGTTTTTTTGTGCGGTCAGGGCCATAATCATCCTGGATTATCATATGTATTATATTTCGTATGTATTGTCATAAATACTCTTGACCCTTCAGTCGTTTAAAGGCACAGCTTCGTTACATCACATCTGCAGATCCCAACTGTTGCCACAGCATTTCTCTCGCATGTTAGAGCAATTTGATTGGACGATTTTTAGTGTCATGTCAGCCGGGTTTAAAAGGAAGCTATGGTAGAGTATTGGTCCCGGCTAGTTAGAACAACTCATTGGGGATTTAATACACTAACCGATAATGAGTTACATGTTCAACACTGACGGGACTATATGACTGTATGTGTATGAAGTCGATGTTGTACTGCTTGTCACATCAGTGCTGATGTCGGCTTATGACCTGCATGACTGTAACGCAGTCGGCTAATGACCTGCAGGACTGTAACACAGTGGGCTAATGACCTGCAGGACTGTAACACAGTCGGCTAATGACCTGCAGGACTGTAACACAGTGGGCTAATGACCTGCAGGACTGTAACACTGTCGGCAAATGACCTGCAGGACTGTACCTCCGCGGCTAATGACCTGCAGAACTGTAACACTGTCGGCTAATGACCTGCAGGACTGTAACACAGTCGGCTAATGACCTGCAGGACTGTAACACAGTGGGTTAATGACCTGCAGAACTGTAACACTGTCGGCTAATGACCTGCAGGACTGTAACACTGTCGGCTAATGACCTGCAGGACTGTAACACAGTGGGTTAATGACCTGCAGAACTGTAACACAGTCGGCTAATGACCTGCAGGACTGTAACACTGTGGGCTAATGACCTGCAGAACTGTAACACTGTCGGTTAATGAGCTGCTTGTCACATCAGTGCTGATGTCGGCTTATGACCTGCATGACTGTAACGCAGTCGGCTAATGACCTGCAGAACTGTAACGCTGTTGCCTAATGACCTGCAGGACTGTAAGAAAGTCGGCTAATGATCTGCAGAACTGTAACACTGTCGGCTTATGACCTGCAGGACTGTAACACTGTCGGCTAATGACCTGCAGGACTGTAACACAGTCGGCTAATGACCTGCAGGACTGTAACACAGTGGGCTAATGACCTGCAGAACTGTAACACAGTCGGCTAATGACCTGCAGGACTGTAACACAGTCGGCTAATGACCTGCAGAACTGTAACACAGTCGGGTAATGACCTGCAGGACTGTAACACAGTGGGCTAATGACCTGCAGGACTGTAACACTGTCGGCTAATGACCTGCAGGACTGTAACACAGTGGGCTAATGACCTGCAGGACTGTAACACAGTCGGCAAATGACCTGCAGGACTGTACCTCCGCGGCTAATGACCTGCAGAACTGTAACACTGTCGGCGAATGACCTGCAGGACTGTAACACAGTCGGCTAATGACCTGCAGGACTGTAACACAGTGGGTTAATGACCTGCAGAACTGTAACACTGTCGGCTAATGACCTGCAGGACTGTAACACAGTGGGCTAATGACCTGCAGAACTGTAACACAGTCGGCTAATGACCTGCAGGAATGTAACACAGTCGGCTAATGACCTGCAGGACTGTAACACAGTCGGGTAATGAGCTGCAGGACTGTAACACAGTGGGCTAATGACCTGCAGGACTGTAACACAGTGGGCTAATGACCTGCAGGACTGTAACACAGTCGGTTAATGACCTGCAGGAATGTAACACAGTCGGTTAATGACCTGCAGAACTGTAACACTGTCGGCTAATGACCTGCAGGACTGTAACACTGTTGCCTAATGACCTGCAGGACTGTAACAAAGTCGGCTAAAGGCCTGCAGAACTGTAACGCTGTTGCCTAATGACCTGCAGGACTGTAACACAGTCGGCTAATGACCTGCAGGACTGTAACACAGTGGGCTAATGACCTGCAGAACTGTAACACTGTCGGCTAATGACCTGCAGGACTGTAACACAGTGGGCTAATGACCTGCAGAACTGTAACACTGTCGGCTAATGACCTGCAGGACTGTAACACTGTCGGCTAATGACCTGCAGGACTGTAACACAGTCGGCTAATGACCTGCAGAACTGTAACACTGTCGGCTAATGACCTGCAGGACTGTAACACAGTCGGCTAATGACCTGCAGGACTGTAACACTGTGGGCTAATGACCTGCAGAACTGTAACACTGTCGGTTAATGAGCTGCAGGACTGTAACACAGTGGGCCAATGACCTGCAGGACTGTAACACAGTCGGCAAATGACCTGCAGGACTGTAACACTGTGGGCTAATGACCTGCAGGACTGTAACACAGTGGGCTAATGACCTGCAGAACTGTAACACTGTCGGCTAATGACCTGCAGGACTGTAACACAGTCGGCTAATGACCTGCAGGACTGTAACACAGTGGGCTAATGACCTGCAGAACTGTAACACTGTCGGTTAATGACCTGCAGGACTGTAACACTGTCGGCTAATTGCCTGCAGGACTGTAACACAGTGGGCTAATGACCTGCAGAACTGCAACACTGTCGGCTAATGACCTGCAGAACTGTAACACAGTCGGCTAATGACCTGTAGGACTGTAACACAGTGGGCTAATGACCTGCAGGACTGTAACACTGTCGGCTAATGACCTGCAGGACTGTAACACAGTCGGCTAATGACCTGCAGAACTGTAACACTGTCGGCTAATGACCTGCAGGACTGTAACACAGTCGGCTAATGACCTGCAGGACTGTAACACAGTGGGCTAATGACCTGCAGAACTGTAACACAGTCGGCTAATGACCTGCAGGACTGTAACACAGTGGGCTAATGACCTGCAGAACTGTAACACAGTCGGCTAATGACCTGCAGCACTGTAACACTGTCGGCTAATGACCTGCAGGACTGTAACACAGTGGGCTAATGACCTGCAGAACTGTAACACTGTCGGCTAATGACCTGCAGGACTGTAACACAGTCGGCTAATGACCTGCAGGACTGTAACACTGTGGGCTAATGACCTGCAGAACTGTAACACTGTCGGTTAATGAGCTGCAGGACTGTAACACAGTGGGCTAATGACCTGAAGGACTGTAACACAGTCGGCAAATGAGCTGCAGGACTGTAACACAGTGGGCTAATGACCTGCAGGACTGTAACACAGTGGGCTAATGACCTGCAGAACTGTAACACTGTCGGCTAATGACCTGCAGGACTGTAACACAGTCGGCTAATGACCTGCAGAACTGTAACACAGTGGGCTAATGACCTGCAGAACTGTAACACTGTCGGTTAATGACCTGCAGGACTGTAACACTGTCGGCTAATTGCCTGCAGGGCTGTAACACAGTGGGCTAATGACCTGCAGAACTGCAACACTGTCGGCTAATGACCTGCAGAACTGTAACACAGTCGGCTAATGACCTGTAGGACTGTAACACAGTGGGCTAATGACCTGCAGAACTGTAACACTGTCGGCTAATGACCTGCAGGACTGTAACACAGTCGGCTAATGACCTGCAGGACTGTAACACCGTGGGCTAATGACCTGCAGAACTGTAACACTGTCGGTTAATGAGCTGCAGGACTGTAACACAGTGGGCTAATGACCTGCAGGACTGTAACACAGTCGGCAAATGACCTGCAGGACTGTAACACTGTCGGCTAATGACCTGCAGGACTGTAACACAGTGGGCTAATGACCTGCAGGACTGTAACACAGTGGGCTAATGACCTGCAGAACTGTAACACTGTCGGTTAATGACCTGCAGGACTGTAACACAGTGGGCTAATGACCTGCAGAACTGTAACACTGTCGGCTAATGACCTGCAGGACTGTAACACAGTCGGCTAATGACCTGCAGGACTGTAACACAGTCGGTAAATGACCTGCAGGACTGTAACACTGTGGGCTAATGACCTGCAGGACTGTAACACAGTGGGCTAATGACCTGTAGAACTGCAACACTGTCGGCTAATGACCATGCAGAACTGTAACACTGTCGATTAATAGCGAAGCCAACTGTAACACAAAAGCACATTGTTGCTGCAATTTGTTTCTAAAGTTCGTGCGAGGTTGTTTCTGGTCGTGCCTGAGGTCATTATCAGCTGCAGTAGTCACTATGTTCGCTGTAACAGTCTGTTGATGAAGTTCCTGCAATGTTGTCTCTGGGTGTTGCTGAAGTCCCTGTAGATACTCAGAATCCTTTCATCATTTTTCAGCTGAGTCAACTCCTGCTGTCTGTGGATGGAGCCAAGGTCCTGATTGAAAAGACGGCTGTCCAAATTCACAGACCCCTGGTCACCACAGTAGATCACCGTCACGTCGGCTGAAACAGGAACGTGTGTTACTGCCACATCCGCTACCACTACTACAACTACCCCAAACTATACCATTGTCAATGTACTAAGATGATATACAAACATGTAAATAATCTTTAGATAATAATAATAAATAATAATATAATTACAACTTCACAGCTCACAACCTGACACAACTTCACAGCTCACCTCCAGACACAACTTCACAGCTTACCCCCTGGCATAACTTCACAACTCACCCCCTGACAGAACTTCACAGCTTACCCCCTGACACAACTTCACAACTCACCCCGACATAACTTCACAGCTTACCCCCCTGACACAACTTCACAGCTTATCCCTGACACAACTTCACAGCTTACACCCTGACACAACTTCACAGCTTCCCCCTGACACAACTTCACAGCTTACCCCCGACACAACTTCACAGCTTCCCCCTGACACAACTTCACAGCTCACCCCCTGACACATCTTCACAGCTTACCTCCTGACACAACTTCACAGCTTACCTCCTGACACAACTTCACAGCTTACCCCCTGACACAACTTCACAGCTTCCCCCTCACACAACTTCACAGCTTACTTCCAAACCTCCAGAGACTCCGCACAGTGGTCACCCTGAGATCGCCAAGCCCCTTGGTCGGATCCTCCAAGATGACGTTCCGCTCGTTGAAGTCGACAAAGACGAGGAAGACACGCGACCCCGGCAGCTGTGTAATGTCTGCGTGGCGTCTGATGACCCGAGAGTGGATGGTGGGACATGGTTGCTGCACAGACTCGAACACAGACCTGGTCTGGTCAGCATGTCTCCCCTCTGTCGCGGTATGGAAGGCCACCACACACACCGAGTCCTCCATCGGCCGGCTCCACTGCAGCTCGTACACCTCCTCACGTCGGGAGCCCCTCTGCTGAGAAAAAGACACATTAACAATGTATACTCCCCAGGGATGAGAACTGTATCTGACAGCACTATTGGATATAGTCAACAGTCACGATATTGACTCTCTGTGAAACAATTGTGTGGTATTGATATCGTCTTGTTGTTTTGTCATCACCAGCCACTGTGTACTCTACAGCTGATGTAGTAGTAGTTGAAGTAGGAGCAGCAGCCGTAGTAATCTGGTAGAAGTAGTAGCAGTTGTAGGAGAAGTAGAAGTAGTCACCTGTATATCGTTGCGGGAAGCTGCAGCTGTAGCTGGTGCTGTTGCTGATGCTGTTGCTGGCCCAGGTGTGGATGACGGAGCCTTCATCACGTACTTCACTAACATGGCGACAGCTATCAAGTTCAACACAGACAGATAGAGGGCGATATCTGAAATGCAAACACATGTGCAATAGTAGCTGGGACAAAAGTTGCTCAAAGTTATATGATATGGGCAGAAATAGGGAAACAAACCTGTTGTCCCGACAATGCATGCGTTGTCGGGGGATGACTCATTTGATATTGATAACGTGTAAGCAGTGAATAGATTCCCAAAATGACTCTCATTGAGTGGTTAATTCTCCCTAGAATAAACGCTGTTCCGACAGTGTAGAACTGAGTTACTGAGTGACTGACTGAGTGAGTGAGTGAGTGAGTGACTGACTGACTGACTGACTGACTGACTGACTGACTCCGTGTAGTGACTGACTGACTGACTGACTGACTGACTGACTGACTGACTGACTCCGTGTAGTGACTGACTGACTGACTGACTGACTGACTGACTGACTGAATGACTGACTGACTGACTGACTGACTGAATGAATGACTGACTGACTGACTGACTGATTGACTCACCGTGTACTGATGATTTTCCTTTCAGCTCGTCCACCACCGCCTTGGTCATGAAGCCGTCCAGTTCTTCTCCGTCTAGTTTCCTCTCGGTGTGGTCATGCTTCTTTGCGAACTCTTGCTCTTTCTTGACTGTTTCATTCCGGTGTTTTTGGAACTCCAGATATGTCCAATTTGCCCACAAAATGTGACCAGTAAGAAGATCTCCATTTGCACTGCTACTACGTGTTGCTTGTTTCGCCTCCTGGGAGGCGTTCTGGATGTCTCGTTTGAGGGTCGGTAATTCCGTGTCCACAATCTCAGTTCTCCAAGTATCTAATCCATCTACCCTTCCATCCATGACGTCCACGCGTGAAGAGAGCTGTTCAGCCGTTATATTTATAGCTGTAATGTTTGTTGTGATATTTCCCACTGCCTGTGTCAAAGTTTCAAGCTTCCCAACATTACTAAAGGCACATTTCTGAATAGTATCAGCAAAAATTTGGACGGCACTTAAATCTACTTTTAGTTTTTCCACTTCATCTGCAGTTCGTGACCCTCTGCGCTCTTCCAGACGAACCTTCTCTTCGATGCTATTATGTTTGTCATTAAATTCTTCATCCTGTTTAAGGGTTTCTGTCTGTTGTTTCTTGAACTCAACATACGTAGCATTTGCCCACAGAATGTGATCTTTAAGGAGTCTTGAATTCGCGCCTGCATCATGTTTAGCTTCTTCACCCAATTGCTGATTATTTGTTATGTTTTGTCTAATCCTCGGCAATTCCTTGTCACTGACCTCAGTTCTCCAAGCCATTAATTCAGAAATGGTTTCATTCATAACATGAGAGGTGTTTAACACTGTGGTATTGATACCCCTCATTTCTAATACAAGTGTCTGTAGATTCATGGTATTTTGTTCTGCAACCTTCTCAGCATGTTCGGCTATTACCTGGATAGAATTCACATCTTTCCTGAGTGACAGTAAATCCTGAATGTTTGCTGTAAACTCCGTTTTCGCTTTATCCAAATCATGTGAGAGCTTCTCTAGGTTCTCTGCATTACTGATAGAAGATCCCTTGGCTTCCGTGGCCACACTGTGAATAGCACGTACGTTTTGTGTTAGCATGGACAATTCCTTGTCAACAATCGTATTCTTCCAGTCATCTAATTCAGCTTGGCGTGTGTGCAGAACTGTGGCTTGGTCAGACAGTTTGGAGACAGTGTTGTTGACAGATGTGATGTTGGTGTTAATATTTCCAACATCCTTTACGACTGTCTCCAGCTTCTCGACACAACCTGCAGCAACATGATGAGCATCTTCTGCATCTTGTCTGACTTTCTGTATTTCCATATTCTCAAAATCAGTCTTCCAAACTTCTAATCTTTCAACACGATCAGAGAGTGTTGATATTGTGTTAGCCGTTTCTGTAGATGATGAGGTGAAACTCTCCACTTCTCTTGCTCGTTCCCCCAGCTTCTCGGAGTGGTCTTCCTTGTGAGCCTCAGCATCCTGTCTGGCTAGTGTCTCCTCCTCCCTTCCGCTCCGATCATGTAACTCGTCCAGTCTCTCTTGTAACTGAACAATCATTTTCTTCATATCTTCCATCTGTTTAGAGAGTGTTAAGACGGTCACAGTGTCAACTGTCAATCCACCTTCTCCATCTGTAATGCCTTTACTGACAGTATCACAAGTGTTGGGACTTCCACGTGCTTTATCCCACCGACTGTTTGGTGGAGTGCACTCTTGAAAGGTCGCCCGATCTTTCCTTGTGTAAGTTTTGTCTTTAGGGTGTGGAGAGGCTTCTGCCATCCCCAGACAAAATGAATTAATAACCAAAACAATCGCGATGAAAAGCATCCATTTGTTGAAGACCATCCCGCTAAAATATCAAATGATAAATAACATCATTGGCTATCATATTGCAGTCATATATTGGAGCTGATGTAAAAGAATGAGTACAAATTGTATTAGTGTTACATATGTCGTAGTCCTGCATGTCTCTATTTACTGTGACCACAGGGGCACGGGTGTCCCAGTCGTCTACGGCGCCGCGATTCGATGTGCAGAGTTGCGTTCCTTGGGCACGCCAGAAACCTATACCCGTGCTTGTGGGTTTCACCGAAGTGGTAAACGTCTGAGACCTGCATCACTTCGGGCTTTCCTCCAACATTAAGCTGACACGCCGTGATATAACTGGATTACTGTTAAAAGAGGCGTTAAACCCACTCACTCACTCACTCACTACTGTGATCAAAACCTAGATAATAAAATGAAAATCTAGACAAAAAAAATATGTGGGCATAGCCATATTATAAATTAGCATTAAAAAGATAGGAGTTTAGAAGAGAGATCTGTATTATCATAAGATATGTTATTGGTCATCTGTTAGTCGGCATCTGTTACCCTGCTATCCAGGTTGGGGATACAAAGCAACTGTGAGGTTCTTTTTCTGAATGCTTTAGCTTATAAAGGGTACCCGGTAGAACTTGTGTTGATGTTGATATAACAAGAGGTGAGGTGAGGTGAAATGTGATTGAACCTAGCGTCCAAGATTATTGCACTTATATAGCGCGTGCGTGCGTGCGTGCGTGCGTGCGTGCGTGTGTGTTTATTGTGCTAGCCTATTGAGATACCATGCCGCAGTTTAACAAGAATACACACACACCTTCAGACACAGTATACTGACTCCTAGCCGGCCAGTCGTTGTTTTAGCCCCTTAATGCCGAGCGCCAGACGGGGAGGATATAATAAGACATTATAAGGTATATGTCATGTAAGTTATTGCGTCTGCATTATGCACAGTATATTTATTAGTGAAAATTTAGTGTTCAATCTTAAATTGAACACACTCTCGCAGTCAGCATAAAAACATATACTTTATTTTTTAATTTACTCACACATTCCAGAATAATTCTGATGTCTTCTCGTTTTCTGACTGCTTTGCATCCAACGTGTTTTCCTCGTTGGCATGGTCACTGATGTAACCCTCGCCCAGCCTCTGAAGCCTTCGTGCAGTTTGGAAACTGAGGAGACACGCTGGTTCACCTCGAGTTCCCTCCCTTGCACGATCACGGTGACTAGCCTTGGTGTGTTTGTTGTCTGACATGGTTGCTGGTTCACCTCGAGTTCCCTCCCTTGCACGATCACGGTGACTAGCCTTGGTGTGTTTGTTGTCTGACATGGTTGCTGGTTCACCTCGAGTTCCCTCCCTTGCACGATCACGGTGACTAGCCTTGGTGTGTTTGTTGTCTGACATGGTTGCTGGTTCACCTCGAGTTCCCTCCCTTGCACGATCACGGTGACTAGCCTTGGTGTGTTTGTTGTCTGACATGGTTGCTGGTTCACCTCGAGTTCCCTCCCTTGCACGATCACGGTGACTAGCCTTGGTGTGTTTGTTGTCTGACATGGTTGCTGGTTCACCTCGAGTTCCCTCCCTTGCACGATCACGGTGACTAGCCTTGGTGTGTTTGTTGTCTGACATGGTTGCTGGTTCACCTCGAGTTCCCTCCCTTGCACGATCACGGTGACTAGCCTTGGTGTGTTTGTTGTCTGACATGGTTGCTGCAGAGACCATTTCGGGGGACAACAGATGTATGTTACTCTCTAATTTTGTCACACGGCATCATCTACTTGAGTCATTCAATCATTGGGGAATTCTCCGACAGACTGCTGTCTGACTGCCACGTAAAGTTCAGACAAAACGAAACACAACGGGAAACCCACACGGAACTACATATGTGATGACCCCTGACCGCCGCCCTGAAGCGAGCATGATGTAATCGGCTCACTTGACCTAAATTCGAATTCTAGGAAACGATACGCAACCGACGCTTGTTGCACGCTGAGAGGTATATGATCGTAGGAGAGACAGAGCATATCGGCTGTAGGTGTTGAAGGATTGGATCAGTCCGCGTCTGCTGTTTGAGGAGGTAGGTTGTCAGAAATATGTGCACATATTTAATATCGACTCCCCCTCCCCCTCCCCCAGCGTTATAACCACCTGTGTCTAATTTGCACTGTTGACAGCGGGTAAAATGCTTATCGATACACATGCCCAAGGTGTATGGTTGTCTCCCTTGAATTTATTCATCGACACGTAGACAAGCGACACCCCTTTGTAAATAACATTTTTTCCAGAATGGTGTAAACCCCATTAAAAACCATAGAAATGTTATTTTTATTTCTTCTATGTGTGTGTGTGTGTGTGTGTGTGTGTGTGTGTGTATGTGTGTGTGTATGTATGTATGTATGTATGTATGTATGTATGTATCTGGTTCTTCTATTTGTTTATGTATGTATGTATGTATGTATGTATGTATGTATGTATGTATGTATGTATGTATGTATGTATGTATGTTCATTAACGCACTTTATTTATTTCGTTATCATTTCTCCTATTTATTTTTGTACAGTTTCCTGGACTGTAAAGTTCTGCGACAACACATTCCGCCTGCAATGTCCATAATTTGAGACCTCATATTCAATTTGACCCAAGAGAAAAAACACCGTAGGTATGATTGATCAAAAGCGACGGCTTCAGACTCAGATTAAGGACAATCTAAACAGTATCGGAGAGCGACTAAATGGACGACCTGTTACTGTGGCTTTTATTGGGACCGTCGGAGTGGGCAAGTCGTCCCTCATCAACACCATAGCAACCGCCATGGCTACCGGAAGCTGGCAGCAACACGCCTACACGGGAGGTCACGGGGGTCAGGCTGAGCCGGTCACAGCTGTCATCAGACGGTACGTCTCTATTTATAAAGTAACCTTGAACTGAATATCATCACCATCATCATCTTCATCTTCATCAGCAGCAGCATCTCCATAACAACTCTTCTCCATCATCACCACTACAATCATCATCACCATCACCAACAGCAGCAGCATCTCCATAACAACCCTTCTCCATCATCACCACTACAATCATCATCACCATCAGCAGCAGCACCAGCATCTCCATAACAACCCTTCTCCATCATCACCACTACAATCATCATCACCATCACCAACAGCACCAGCATCTCCATAACAACCCTTCTCCATCATCACCACTACAATCATCATCACCATCATCATCATCAGCACCAACATCTCCATAACAACCCTTCTCCATCATCACCACTACAAGCATCATCACCATCACCAACAGCACCAGCATCTCCATAACAACCCTTCTCAATCATCACCACTACAAGCATCATCACCATCACCAACAGCACCAGCATCTCCATAACAACCCTTCTCCATCATCACCACTATAAGCATCATCACCATCACCAACAGCACCAGCATCTCCATAACAACCCTTCTCCATCATCACCACTACAATCATCATCACCATCATCATCATCAGCACCAACATCTCCAAAACAACCCTTCTCCATCATCACCACTACAATCATCATCACCATCATCATCACCATCACCAACAGCACCAGCATCTCCATAACAACCCTTCTCCATCATCACCACTACAATCATCATCACCATCACCAACAGCACCAGCATCTCCATAACAACCCTTCTCCATCATCACCACTACAAGCATCATCACCATCACCAACAGCACCAGCATCTCCATAACAACCCTTCTCCATCATCACCACTACAAGCATCATCACCATCACCAACAGCACCAGCATCTCCATAACAACCCTTCTCCATCATCACCACTACAATCATCATCACCATCATCATCATCAGCACCAACATCTCCATAACAACCCTTCTCAATCATCACCACTACAATCATCATCACCATCATCATCACCATCACCAACAGCACCAGCATCTCCATAACAACCCTTCTCCATCATCACCACTGCAATCATCATCACCATCATCATCAGCAGCAGCAAACTCTCCATAACAACCCTTCTCCATCATCACCACTACAATCATCATCACCATCATCATCATCAGCACCAACATCTCCATAACAACCCTTCTCCATCATCACCACTACAATCATCATCACCATCATCATCATCAGCACCAACATCTCCATAACAACCCTTCTCCATCATCACTACTACAATCATAATCATCATCATCAGCAGCAGCAGCTGCAGCATCTCAATAACAACCCTTCTCAATCATCAACACTATAATCACCCCCCCCCAAAAGATTTATTTGGTCATGAAGGTTTTCTTTGTAAAATCGCAAAGATTGTATGTTAATAATATCATGTTTTCTATAATCATCAGTTTTTATCTGTTTCATTCATAATTTTGTTTCACACTGTTATCTTAAGAATACAGTAAGTCTTCCTCTTGTGTCATTGCGAATCAAATATATTCAGCTTTGATATATTTTACATGAAAAGAGAAGCGGGTCAAATTCCGTTAAGCATTAAGTCAATCTTTAATTTTTTTCCGATTGTAAACAGTGCCTTGAGTGCTAAAAAAACAGCTAAACAGCTTCAAGGGCAGTGAGTGACGCCAAGCGATGACGTCACAATGATCTGCTTACCTTTGTCAAATTCATTGTAGTGATATCACCTTGTACTGACTTCTAACACTATTCACTCTGTGCTTTACTTTAAATTTTCCAAATGATATGCAGGTAACTGGCATGAATTAAATTAGGTCAGTACCGAACTTCACACAGCCTGCGGAGCAAACGAGAGAGGACAAGGCAGTCAGGCTCATCGCATGTCATGGATGGTGTTGAACATCGTTCTTGTTGCCAATCACTGGTTTGTCTGGTCCCTACTCCTTCAACCTATGCTTCCCTTGATCCACCCAGCCACCCCGAAGTATGGTGGACGAAGAGGCGGCTATATGGATCGGGTAGTCAAGCTCAGTTGTTGATTGTGTGTCATCGTACCCATACGCCATTGATCAATGCTCATGATATCAATCACTGGTTTGTCTGGTCCCTACTCCTTCAACCTATGCTTCCCTTGATCCACCCGGCCACCCCGAAGTATGGTGGACGAAGAGGCGGCTATATGGATCGGGTAGTCAAGCTCAGTTGTTGATTGTATGTCATCGTACCCAGACGCCATTGATCAATGCTCATGATATCAATCACTGGTTTGTCTGGTCCCTACTCCTTCAACCTATGCTTCCCTTGATCCACCCGGCCACCCCGAAGTATGGTGGACGAAGAGGCGGCTATATGGATCGGGTAGTCAAGCTCAGTTGTTGATTGTGTGTCATCGTACCCAGACGCCATTGATCAATGCTCATGATATCAATCACTGGTTTATCTGGTCCCTACTCCTTCAACTTATGCTTCCCTTGATCCACCCAGCCACCCCGAAGTATGGTGGACGAAGAGGCGGCTATATGGATCGGGTAGTCAAGCTCAGTTGTTGATTGTATGTCATAGTACCCAGACGCCATTGATCAATGCTCATGATATCAATCACTGGTTTGTCTGGTCCCTACTCCTTCAACCTATGCTTCCCTTGATCCACCCGGCCACCCCGAAGTATGGTGGACGAAGAGGCGGCTATATGGATCGGGTAGTCAAGCTCAGTTGTTGATTGTATGTCATCGTACCCAGACGCCATTGATCAATGCTCATGATATCAATCACTGGTTTGTCTGGTCCCTACTCCTTCAACCTATGCTTCCCTTGATCCACCCGGCCACCCCGAAGTATGGTGGACGAAGAGGCGGCTATATGGATCGGGTAGTCAAGCTCAGTTGTTGATTGTATGTCATCGTACCCAGACGCCATTGATCAATGCTCATGATATCAATCACTGGTTTGTCTGGTCCCTACTCCTTCAACTTATGCTTCCCTTGATCCACCCAGCCACCCCGAAGTATGGTGGACTAAGAGGCGGCTATATGGATCGGGTAGTCAAGCTCAGTTGTTGATTGTGTGTCATCGTACCCAGACGCCATTGATCAATGCTCATGATATCAATCACTGGTTTGTCTGGTCCCTACTCCTTCAACTTATGCTTCCCTTGATCCACCCAGCCACCCCGAAGTATGGTGGACGAAGAGGCGGCTATATGGATCGGGTAGTCAAGCTCAGTTGTTGATTGTATGTCATCGTACCCAGACGCCATTGATCAATGCTCATGATATCAATCACTGGTTTGTCTGGTCCCTACTCCTTCAACCTATGCTTCCCTTGATCCACCCGGCCACCCCGAAGTATGGTGGACGAAGAGGCGGCTATATGGATCGGGTAGTCAAGCTCAGTTGTTGATTGTATGTCATCGTACCCAGACGCCATTGATCAATGCTCATGATATCAATCACTGGTTTGTCTGGTCCCTACTCCTTCAACCTATGCTTCCCTTGATCCACCCGGCCACCCCGAAGTATGGTGGACGAAGAGGCGGCTATATGGATCGGGTAGTCAAGCTCAGTTGTTGATTGTATGTCAACGTACCCAGACGCCATTGATCAATGCTCATGATATCAATCACTGGTTTGTCTGGTCCCTACTCCTTCAACCTATGCTTCCCTTGATCCACCCGGCCACCCCGAAGTATGGTGGACTAAGAGGCGGCTATATGGATCGGGTAGTCAAGCTCAGTTGTTGATTGTTTGTCATCGTACCCAGACGCCATTGATCAATGCTCATGATATCAATCACTGGTTTGTCTGGTCCCTACTCCTTCAACCTATGCTTCCCTTGATCCACCCGGCCACCCCGAAGTATGGTGGACGAAGAGGCGGCTATATGGATCGGGTAGTCAAGCTCAGTTGTTGATTGTATGTCATCGTACCCACACGCCATTGATCAATGCTCATGATATCAATCACTGGTTTGTCTGGTCCCTACTCCTTCAACCTATGCTTCCCTTGATCCACCCGGCCACCCCGAAGTATGGTGGACGAAGAGGCGGCTATATGGATCGGGTAGTCAAGCTCAGTTGTTGATTGTATGTCATCGTACCCACACGCCATTGATCAATGCTCATGATATCAATCACTGGCTGTAATCACAATTACAGGTTGTCAAGTAGGAATATTGCAGACTTTGGCGATAGACAACTCTCACTTTAGATGGATACAATTTAATGTGATTGTCACTCATTGTAGTTCGTTCTGTCCCTTGTAAGATACGAGCATATGTCCATAGATACCCACAATGTTGTCGACCTGAAAGGCACAACAACACGCTGTTCCCGACCCTAATGGACGTCCAGGGACTTCCGGATCACATAGACGCCACCTGGCGGAAGGTCCTGTCTCTTCTGTTCTATGGGCGTATTCCCGAGCAGGAAAACCTCCTGGACGTGGTGGCCTACTTGGAGGCCAGGGATGAGTTCCGGCGTCCTAAGTACTGTCGGGGTCGCGATGACCTGAAGGTGGACCGGGTTGTCGTCGTTGCCTCGGCACAAGAGGACTTACCCATGGACCTGCTGGAAGCTCTCGTCGAGGTGGCCAGGCCTATCAGGGGACGCAGTCGAAGAGGTAACTAGAATAAGCTTCTGTGAGGGTAAAGTCATTTTTCAGGGATTTTGCATTTGTAGAAACCCAAGGTCTGCAATTAGCTGCTCGACGACGGGAGGCAGTTTAACAGACCGATGGTTTCTGCAAATTATAATGTGCTGAAATAAAGAGTTACCGTTATCAAAACTAAAAGGGATACAATTTGCCATGACAGAATCCCCCAAACAAACAAATGAAAACAAACACCAACGTGTGATAAGCATTAGTTCTTCACACGAAGACACAACAGAGGTCAGTGTGACACCGGCCTAGAAACACGTCGTCGACAGTCGATTGCGTCAATACTAGTCTCGTGAAGTCGTTTGACCTTAACCTTCATTTACGGCAACATGAAGACAGTTTTGTGGGCTATATAACGTCAGTTTTCGGATTTTTCTTGACATTGACACTGGACTTTGATAATGACATGACTCACAGTGCAATGATTCAAACTAGCACTTGCAAGGAACGTCAGATTAGTGTCATGGGTTGCGCTTCGCCAGAGTGTTCGCTTGTCCCTCAATCTTCAATCTAGCGATTGTTTATTCGGACAAATCACAACAGTTTTCCTGTAAATATACGCACAGGGCATCCCCGACCCATATATCATCAGCTACTCGTGATGCGCTTGGTCATTCACCAAAGTCCACCTCAGACGCCACGTTTGTTTACGTGTGTATGCAAACTACCTGTGACGTCATATGAGTGTGGGTTTTACGACGCCTCTTTTGCAAATATCTAGGAATATCACGACGAGGGACAACAGAAATGGGCTCCACACATTGTACCCATGTGGGGAATCGAACCCGGGCTTTTGGCGTGACGAGCAACGCTTTAACTACTAGCCTACCTCTCCAACCCTCTGACGCCATAACGACAACGTCATTAATGATGGTCCCGTCTTTAGACAAAGTAAAGGCAGTATGATATTGCAGTTTAGCCCGCCAATTCCCTGATAACCGTTTTGGGATAATTCTATCCATGTAAGGTATGATGTGGTATCTGTTTCACTTACAAACATCTGGAAAAAGTTCATGGAAATCCCAAAGTTCAAGAAATCGCGTATCCTATACTTAGTTTCTGATGAAATACACTTTCAGCAGCCTGCAGTATGTATTACACACGATGCAATATGTACGATACTTGTGTCATTTATATTACGTTGTATGAATGACCCTGGATGTAGCACGAATGACACTGTATGTAGCATGAATGACACTGTATGTAGTATGAATAACACAAGATGTAGCATGAACGACACTGGATGTAGCATGAATGACACTGTATGTAGCATGAATGACACTGTATGTAGTATGAATAACACAAGATGTAGCACGAACGACACTGGATGTAGCATGGATGACAAAGTTCAAGAAATCGCGTATCCTATACTTAGTTTCTGATGAAATACACTTTCAGCAGCCTGCAGTATATATTACACACGATGCAATATGTACGATACTTGTGTTATTTATATTACGTTGTATGAATGACACTTGATGTAATATGAATGACACTGGATGTAGAATGGATGACAGTGAATGTAGTATGAATGACACAAGATGTATTATTGATGACACTGGATGTAGTATGAATGACAGTGAATGTAGTATGAATGACACAAGATGTATTATTTATGACACTGTATGTAGTATGAATGACAGTGAATGTAGCATGAATGACACAATAGGTAGTATTGATGACACTGGATGTAGCATGAATGACACTGGGTGTAGTATGAATGACACTTGATGTAGCATGAATGACACTGGATGTAGCATGAATGACACTGTATGTAGCATGAATGACACTGTATGTAGTATGAATAACACAAGATGTAGCATGAACGACACTGGATGTAGCATGAATGACAAAGTTCAAGAAATCGCGTATCCTATACTTAGTTTCTGATGAAATACACTTTCAGCAGCCTGCACACGATGCAATATGTACGATACTTGTGTTATTTATATTACGTTGTATGAATGACACTGGATGTAGTATGAATGACACTGGATGTAGAATGGATGACACTGGATGAAGTATGAATGACACAAGATGTAGTATTGATGACACTGGATGTAGTATGAATGACAGTGAATGTAGCATGAATGACACAAGATGTATTATTTATGACACTGTATGTAATATGAATGACACTGTATGTAGCATGAATGACACTGGATGTAGAATGCATGACACTGGATGTAGTATGAATGACACAAGATGTAGTATTGATGACACTGGATGTAGTATGAATGACACAAGATGTAGTATGAATGACACTTGATGTAGTATAAATGACGCTGGATGTAGTATGAATGACACTGGATGTAGTATGAATTACAGTGGAGGTGGTATGAATGACACTGGATGTAGTATGAATTACAGTGGATGTAGTATGAATGACACTGGATGTAGCATGAATGACACTGGATGTAGAATGCATGACACTGGATGTAGTATGAATGACACAAGATGTAGTATTGATGACACTGGATGTAGTATGAATGACAGTGAATGTAGCATGAATGACACAAGATGTATTATTTATGACACTGTATGTAATATGAATGACACTGTAAGTAGTATGAATTACAGTGGATGTAGTATGAATGACACTGGATGTAGCATGAATGACACTTGATGTAGAATGCATGACACTGGATGTAGTATGAATGACACAAGATGTAGTATGAATGACACTTGATGTAGTATGAATTACAGTGGAGGTAGCATGAACGACACTGGATGTAGTATGAAGGACACTTGATGTAGTATGAATAACACTGGATGTAGTATAAATGACACTGGATGTAGTATAAATGGCACCTGATGTAGTATGAATGACACTTGATGTAGTATAAATGACACTGGATGTAGTATAAATGACACTGGATGTAGTATGAATTACCGTGGAGGTAGTATGAATGAGACTGGATGTAGTATGAAGGACACTTGATGTAGTATGAATGACACTGGATGTAGTATGAATGACACTGGATGTAGTATGAATGACACTGGATGTAGCATGAATGACACTGGATGTAGTATGAATGACAATGGATGTAGTATAAATGACACTGGATGTAGCATGAATGACACTGGATGTAGTATAAATGACACTGGATGTAGTATGAATGACACTGGATGTAGCATGAATGACACTGGATGTAGTATGGATGTAGTATGAATGACACTGGATGTAGCATGAATGACACTGGATGTAGTATAAATGACACTGGATGTAGTATGAATGACACTGGATGTAGCATGACTGACACTGGATGTAGTATAAATGACACTGGATGTAGCATGAATGACACTGGATGTAGTATAAATGACACCTGATGTAGTATAAATGACACCTGATGTAGTATGAATGACCCTGGATGTAGTATGAATGACAATGGATGTAGCATGAATGACAATTGAGGTAGCATGAATGACATTGAATGTGGCATGAATTACACTGGATGTAGTATGAATGACACTTGATGTAGTATAAATGATACTGGATGTAGTATAAATGACACTGGATGTAGTATGAATGACACTTGATGTAGTATAAATGACACCTGATGTAGTATGAATGACACTGGATGTAGTATGAATGACAATGGATGTAGCATGAATGACAATTGAGGTAGCATGAATGACATTGAATGTGGCATGAATTACACTGGATGTTTATATCACTATCTGTTTATCTGAGCAATGTTTATTTCCACCCACAAAGAACACCTATTCGGTTGGAGTGGTTCAACATATACTTCTGTTCCAACAGGCATTCCCATATTTGGGGTCATGACGAAGTGTGATCTCGTCGACCCGGAAGTAGACGTCGATTATCAGCACAGAGAGAGGAGGTTCAAAGACGTCTTGGGTCTACAGGGTACACCACGTTTCCTCCGCTGCATCAACTACTGCAGCGACATCGACCCCGACAACAACATGATCTTCACCAGCTATCCGTACATCGACGTCCCAGTGCTGCGTCTGATGACCCAGATCTGCGACCCAGCCATAGAAGTGGTGCACCAACACGAACCATACCCCTACTGGCACTTTCTCAGAGAAAAGAGTTTATGGATCATAGTGACAATTTTTGTGATCTTTCTGGCGTTCATATGTATTTTGTCCCCAAACCGTCCCCGATACTGATTTTCTGTACGCTGTAGACTCAGTGAAATGAATTTAAAAAAGCGTCCATATGGATATTGCTCATGCTAGGCTGCATAACAAAACCAAAGTTTCCCGAATGGTGTAAGACCTTTTATATTATTATTCATTTTTAAAACAAAAGGTTTTTGGAAGCCCACTTTCAATTTTCCCCCGCCAGAAATACGAAGAAACACAACGGGACACAACTGAAAGTAGGCTCTATGATACAATGTCATTTGTCAAGGATGGACACCAGAGTCTGTTCCCTATCTCATTATTACCTGGCATGCGGTAGTGTAACGTCCACGCAGTATTATCAGAGGGAACACTGGACACTGATTGGATGTTGAGGGACTCCCATCTACACATGCACCTCTGTAGCATTCAATACACCAGGACAGTATCATGTAAAGTAAATATCCCATCCTCTGTCTCTCCCTCTCTCGTATCGAGAGCGTCTGTATGATAACATTTTTTCTGGAATAAAAATGTAAGAAATATAGTTGTTTAGTTTTGTCACACTCCTGTTGAGAGAGATCATAACCTTCAGTGGGTCTACGGGGCAGAGAGAGAGAGAGAAAGAGAGAGAGAGAGAGAGAGAGAGAGAGAGAGAGAGAGAGAGAGAGAGAGAGAGAGAGAGATCATAACCTTCAGTGGGTCTACGGGGCAGAGAGAGAGAGAGAGAGAGAGAGAGAGAGAGAGAGAGAGAGAGAGAGAGTCTTACGGGATCGGGTGGTCAGGCTCGCTGACTTGGTTGATGCATGTCATCGTATCCCAATTGCGTAGATTGATGCTCAGTCACTGAATTATTAACAGACCGCCGACAGCTGGAATATTGCTGAGTGGGGCGTCAAACAACAAACACACAAACAAAAACTTTATGTTCGCACACATATACCCCAGGTTCTGTATACATAAATATTTTCCAAGGTAAATTTCTGTAAGCACATGTATAACCCAGTTTCCTTTTCGTGACACAAACGTTCCCCAGGTACCTTTCTGTATACACAGATATACCCCAGGTGCCTTTCTGTATACACAGATATACCCCAGGTGCCTTTCTGTATACACAGATATACCACAGGTGCCTTTCTGTATACACAGATATACCCAAGGTGCCTTCCTGTTCACACAAATAAACCCCCATGTCCCTTTCTGTATACACACTCATACCCAAGGTGCCTTTCTGTATACACAGATATATCCCAGATGCCTTTCTGTATACACAAATATACCCCAGGTGCCATTCTGTACAGACAGATATACCCCAGGTGCCTTTCTGTACACAGAGATACATGTATACCCCAGTTGCCTTTCTGTACACACAAATATACCCCAGGTGCCTTTCTGTATACACAGATAAACCCCAGGTGCCTTTCTGTTTATACAATCATACCCAAGGTGCCTTTCTGTACACACAAATATACCCCAGGTACCTTTCTGTATACATAAATATACCCCAGGTACCTTTCTGTACACACAAATATACCCCAGGTACCTTTCTGTTCACACAAATATACCCCAGGTGCCTTTCTGTTCACACAAATATACCCCAGGTGCCTTCTGTATACACACTCATACCCAAGGTGCCTTTCTGTATGGAGAGATATATCCCAGATGCCTTTCTGTATACACAAATATACCCCAGGTGCCATTCTGTTCACACAGATATACCCCAGGTGCCTTTCTGTACAGACAAATATCCCCAGGTGCCTTTCTGTATACACAAATATACCCCAGGTGCCTTTCTGTATACACAGATATGCCCAAGGTGCCTTTCTGTTCACACAAATATACCCCATGTGCCTTTCTGTACACACAAATATACCCCAGGTGCCTTTCTGTATACACAAATATACCCCAGGTGCCTTTCTGTATACACAGATATGCCCAAGGTGCCTTTCTGTTCACACAAATATACCCCAGGTGCCTTTCTGTACACACAAATATACCCCAGGTGCCTTTCTGTACACACAGATATATCCCAGGTGCCTTTCTGTTCACACAAATATACCCCAGGTGCCTTTCTGTACACACAAATATCCCCAGGTGCCTTTCTGTATACACAAATATACCTCAGGTGCCTTTCTGTATACACAAATATACCCCAGGTGCCTTTCTGTATACACAGATATGCCCAAGGTGCCTTTCTGTTCACACAAATATACCCCATGTGCCTTTCTGTTCACACAAATATACCCCAGGTGCCTTTCTGTTCACACAAATATACCCCAGGTGCCTTTCTGTATACACAAATATACCCCAGGTGCCTTTCTGTATACACAGATATGCCCAAGGTGCCTTTCTGTTCACACAAATATACCCCAGGTGCCTTTCTGTACACACAAATATACCCCAGGTGCCTTTCTGTACACACAGATATATCCCAGGTGCCTTTCTGTATACACAGATATACCCCAGGTGCCTTTCTGTATATACAATGATACCCAAGGTGCCTTTCTGTACACACAAATATACCCCAGGTGCCTTTCTGTATACACAGATATGCCCAAGGTGCCTTTCTGTTCACACAAATATACCCCATGTGCCTTTCTGTTCACACAAATATACCCCAGGTGCCTTTCTGTTCACACAAATATACCGCAGGTGCCTTTCTGTATACACAGATATATCCCAGGTACCTTTCTGTACACACAGATATACCCCAGGTGCCTTTCTGTACACACAAATATACCCCAGGTACCTTTCTGTATATACAATCATACCCAAGATGCCTTTCTGTACACACAGATATACCCCAGATGCCTTTCTGTATACACAAATATACCCCAGGTACTTTACTGTACACATAAATGTACCTGAAATACCTTTCTGTACACATAGATATACCCCTGGTGTCTGAATGTATACACAATTATACCCAAGCTTCCTGACTGTATACAAAGATATAGCCTAGGTATCTAAATGTATACAGAAATATACTCCAGGTTCATGACTGTATTCATTCTTATACCCCAGGTGTCTAAATATATACATTAATATACCCCAGCTTCCTAACTGTGATACATAAATATAACACAGGTACCTGACTGTATACGTAAATATACCCCAGGTTCCTGACTGTATACCTAAATATGTCCACAGGTTCCCGACTGTATACATAAATATACCCCAGGCGTCTAAATGTTAACATAAATATACCCCAGGTTCCTGACTGTATACATAAATATAACCTATGTGTCTAAATATATACATAAATATACCCCAGCTTCCTAAATGCGATACATAAATATACCCAAGGTTCCTGACTGTATACATAAGTATACCCCAGGTGCCTTTTTGTACACACAGATATATCCCAGGTGCCTTTCTGTATACACAGATATACCCCAGGTGCCTTTCTTTTCACACAAATATACCCAAGGTGCCTTTCTTTTCACACAAATATACCCCAGGTGCCTTTCTGTTCACACAAATATACCCCAGGTGCCTTTCTGTATACACAGATATATCCCAGGTACCTTTCTGTACACACAGATATACCCCAGGTGCCTTTCTGTACACACAAATATACCCCAGGTACCTTTCTGTATATACAATCATACCCAAGGTGCCTTTCTGTACACACAGATATACCCCAGGTGCCTTTCTGTATACACAGATATACCCCAGGTACTTTACTGTACACATAAATGTACCCGAGGTACCTTTCTGTACATATAGATATACCCCTGGTGTCTGAATGTATACACAATTATACCCCAGCTTCCTGACTGTATACAAAGATATAGCCTAGGTATCTAAATGTATACAGAAATATACCCCAGGTTCATGACTGTATTCATTCTTATACCCCAGGTGTCTAAATATATACATTAATATACCCCAGCTTCCTAACTGTGATACATAAATATAACACAGGTACCTGACTGTATACGTAAATATACCCCAGGTTCCTGACTGTATACCTAAATATACCCCAGGTTCCCGACTGTATACATAAATATACCCCAGGTGTCTAAATGTATACATAAATATACACCAGCTTCCTAACTGTGATACATAAATATACCCCAGGTACCTTGCTGTATACATAAATATACCGCCTCTGTGTAGGTAATATTTCTGGTATTGAGACATTGATATAATTTTACCAGGTTTGAGCAATATTGAGCACTTAAACATCTGACAGTCCCTGGAAAGCCGAACTCATAATTCGAGAGGTCCTGCTGTTGCCAAATCGATGGAGTGACCGTGATACATACCGCTTTAGGATATAAACGAGTCACACAGAAATAAATTAATAGAAATACGCTCATAAATACGATATAAACGAGCTATTCAGAAATAGAACAAATACACAGAATGCTTCTTTGATAGGCACGCTCTTAATTGTAATAAAGAAGTTGTTCATCCATAAATTCTTATCCTTACATAGAATGCATTAAACAAAAATACAGTAATCTCCAATCACAATTAATCAGTTGAAACAGGCAGAAAATACCATTAACGGAACGAAAATGTCCAGTCTGCCTGCCGTGTGACACAGGAGAGGGTAGATGTCCTTCGTTTGAAAATGTCCACTCTGCCTGCCGTGTGACACAGGAGATGTGGGTAGATGTCCTTCGTTTGAAAATGTCCACTCTGCCTGCCTGCCGTGTGACACAGGAGATGTGGGTAGATGTCCTTCGTTTGAAAATGTCCAGTCTGCCTGCCGTGTGACACAGGAGATGTGGGTAGATGTCCTTCGTTTGAAAATGTCCACTCTGCCTGCCTGCCGTGTGACACAGGAGATGTGGGTAGATGTCCTTCGTTTGAAAATGTCCAGTCTGCCTGCCGTGTGACACAGGAGATGTGGGTAGAAGTCCTTCGTTTGAAAATGTCGAGTCTGCCTGCCGTGTGACACAGGAGATGTGGGTAGATGTCCTTCGTTTGAAAATGTCCAGTCTGCCTGCCGTGTGACACAGGAGACGTGGGTAGATGTCCTTCGTTTGAAAATGGGAGGAACTATTATTACATTAGACCTGACATGTTTAAAATGAATTTACTTTTTTTTAGAGCACCAGAAACATTGAAACTATATATATCCACCTTGCCAGTTTACGTGTGTAGTGGAGTACGAGGTGACTAACGGGATCGTGTGGTCAGGCTCGCTGACATGGTTGATACATGTTATCGATTCCAATTGCCTGGATCGATGCTCATGATGTCAGTCACTGGATTGTCTGATCCCGAGTCGATTGTTTACAGCCCGCGTCAGCAAAGTGACAAGGTAAGGATGTCATCTGTGGGATAAATCCATACTATGCTTCTTGTTCTTCAAAGTAGACGCTCATGGAGGCCATGTAATAACATCTAATTTGGAGAGGGGGCACGGGTGGCCCAATTGTCTTAGGCGCCGCGATTCGCTGTGCAGAGTTGTGCCCTTTCCCACGCCAGAAACCTATGATTGTGGGTTCGAATCCCGGTTCGCCCCGAGTAGGTTTTTCAGCAACATACCCGTGCTCGTGGGTTTCACCGAAGTGATAAACGTCTGAGATCTGCATCAATTCCGGCTTTCCTCCCACATTGGAGGTGGCTCGCCGTGATATATTTGGAATACTGTTAAAAGTGGCGTTAAAGGGCAAGTTCACACGGAAATGAACCTATTTTTCTTGTACTTTTTCCACATTAAAAGTGTTAACATAGAAGTGTCATAGACAAAAATATAAAAATATCACAATTAATTAACATATTTTTCGCATTAAACGATTTATATTTTTCACATTTACCAAGTGTTCTATTTCCACAACAAAAACACCATGGCTTATGCCCCTTGCAATATGACGTCATTGGTGCCAATTGATAAACATTATGACGTCATCATGCTTATTTGGAGCCGCTTCACGTGGTGTAGGTCCAGGTGTGTGATTCTAGCGTCTCAGATGCCAGCCAGCATAGTGTTATGCTGAGTCACCACTGCGCCGGAGTGTGTCGTAGGCCATGTTGTTTTACCGCAAACTGGTACTTGATATCTTTTGCGTTGAGAATAGACAGGGACCCAGTTGAATTGGCACCAATTACGTCATAATCTAAGGGTGATAACTCAGGCCTGTTTAGCTCGAAAAACGAAGGCCTCATAACGGCATATCATTTTCACACTATTGTGAGCTTCCTACGTTCACTGTGAAAAAATTGAGTGTATATTTTCAAAAACAGATACTAATTAATTCTAAAATTGCGTTTTGTTTAGAAAAAGAAAGAAAATGATTTTTGCGTGTACACTTCCCCTTTAAACCAATTCAATCACTGACTGATTCATTCTCTGCTGTGCAGATGTACATTATCATAATAGACCTTCAGTTTCAGTGGGGGAAAAGTAACATTTTAAACTCCGAATTTGAGTCGTTTGATTAAGATATTCGAAGCAATGATATACATATCCAGGTTTCCAATCGCCATTTAAAAAAGACAGAAAACACGTGGTAGGGAGTTGCGGTTAATGGTAAAAATAATGTAATCTCTAAAACAAGCAGTTGGTCGCCGCCCTGCGAATGAACCAGTAAGACACCCTTCCCGGGTCTATCTGGTATCAAAATGTGGCGACCCCGTGCCGAAACTAAATACTTCCCTTCAATGACGTTGTGAGAGGGCCCCTACCATGGAGAATCCGTCATTCACATATGGTACAGACGTTTACCACATGACAATGTATAATGCTTTATTGATTCGCTCAGTACATATTCAATATGTAAAGGCTTTAACCGTCACGATGTAGGCCACACATACACGCTCTTTGTCGTTGGCCCTGTAGCGAGTATAGTAACACATTATTTCCAGGAAGCGAAAGCGAAAGTAAACAATTGCCCCCTACGGAATGAATCAGACACTGACAACGAAACAAGCCTGGTCATACTGGGGAACTTCCCCCTGGGTAATTTGTGCCGTACCCGTGACGTCTACAACTACAACATAAACTACTACTACTACTACTACTACGACTACTTCTACTTATACTTCCACCACCACTACCATTACCATCCCCACAACCACTACCACCACCAAGACCACTATCATCACCACAACCAAGACCACCACTACTACCACTACTACTACTACAACCAGCACCACCACCACTACAATTACTACTACCACCACCACTACAACCACTACCACCACTACCACTATCATCACCACCACCAATACCACCACTACTACTACAACCACCACCACCACCACTACAATTACTACTACCACCACCACTACAACTACTACCACCACCACAACCACTATCATCACCACCACCAAGACTACCACTACTACCACTACTACTACTACTACTACCACCACCACCACTACAACTACTACTACCACCAGCACTACTACTACTACTACTACTACCACTACTACTACTACCACCATCACTACTACTACTACCACCACTACTACTTCTACTACTACTACTACAACCACCACTACTACTACTACTACTACGACCACCACCACCACTACTACTACAACTACTAATGCTACCGGAGGCACGGGTGGCCCAGTCGTAAAAGGCGCCGCAATTCGCTGTGCAGAGTTGCGTCCCTTGGGCACGCCAGAAACCTATGATTGTGGGTTCGAATCCCGATTCGCCCCGATTATGTTTCTAGGTTTATCAGCGCCATACCCGTGCTTGTGGGTTTCACCGAAGTGGTAAACGTCTGAGACCTGCATCACTTCGGGCTTTCCTCCCACATTAAGCTGACACGCCGTGATATAACTGTAATACTGTTAAAAGCGGCGTTAAACCCAATTCACTCACCAATGCTACCTCCACTACCACTACAACTACAACTACTTATACTACCACCACCACTACCACCACTACCACCACCATTACAACCATTACCACCACTACTACCACCACCACTACCACTACTGCCACCACCATTACCACCACCACCACTACTACTACTACTACCACCACCACTACCACTACTGCCACCACCATTACCACCACCACTACTACTACTACTACTACCACCACCACTACCACTACTGCCACCACCATTACCACCACCACCACTACTACTACTACTACCACCACCACTACCACCACCACTACTACTACTACTACCACCACCACTACCACTACTGCCACCACCATTACCACCACCACCACTACTACTACAACTACCACTACTACTAATGTCTGCACCGTATAACTCCATTAAGCTCAATCACTCAGAGATTATTGGAGGTAAACTAACAACACGTTTAGAATATCCTCCATTACGCCCGCCTGAAAATGCATATATATATATATATATATATATACACCACACCACACAGTCATGGCACAGGACTACGATGCCGGGAGTATGTGAGAGTATACAGGTTCAAAATTGATGAACTCTTGAGTATTGTTTAAATATTCTCTAAACAGCTCACTCTGACGTTGTGCATGACGTGTTCGTGGCTTAACTCTGTTTTAAGTACAAGGACAACATGGGTGGAAAACCCCCAGCGATGCACATCTTTGACGTCCATTGATGTCTTGTAATCAAAGGGACGCAACTCCGCTGAGCTAATTGCGATGCCTAAAAGACACATACATGTATGAATATAAACACGTACACAATATTGTTATTCTTCTTATTCTTATTATAATTTCCTTAAAAATATTCAATATTAGATAAGCATGTCTTTCATAAAACTTTATTTCAGATAGCCCATCGAAACACATATTGTACATGAAAGGGTTTCATCAAGACAATAAGAACAGAAGCAAAGCCCTGGTGAAGTGTCAACAAGCCACAACAATATACGACATATTGTTCTATATCGGCGAGCCCTGTGTCCCCATCGCCTTGTTTATTTATTTATTTATTTATTTATTCATTCATTCATTCATTCATTCATTCATTCATTCATTCATTCATTCATTCATTCATTCATTCATTCATTCATTCATTCATTCATTCATTCATTTATTTATTTATTTATTTATGTGTTTGTTTGTTTATTTATTTATGTGTTTGTTTGTTTGTTTATTTATTTATGTGTTTGTTTGTTGTTAAACGCCGCACTTAACAGCCTGTACATAACAGCGTTTCGCCCTACAACCATAATTGATACTATGATCTATTGATTCGCCGCTTAGGAAAAGCTTTGATTGCTGGGGAGCAATTCTACCCTGGAATCCCCAAGAGATGGGCCTGGTGCCATGTACTATATAAACAGACAAAGTGTGAAATACGTTGGTAAAAGTTCGAACCCCAGTCGTCTATACCACTCATATATGCAATGCAAGCAAATGTTATCACAAACATTTGTGTGCTAGGAGTTAGAAGAAATATGTATGTGTATGTTCATGAGTTTAAATATACAATTATTAATAATGCACATATTTGTGTCTTATTCAGTAATAATGCATTAACTTGACCGTTCTCGTCGGCTTCACACGGGGCCATGTAGGGTGACGTCACAGACACAACTCACTGATCACAAAATGTGCATAAATAACAAAATCGATTTCAAATGAATCTGTTTTTTCTTTAGAGGGAGACAACTCTACTGATATTCCGGACATTGATTGTGTGCCTTTGAGTGTTTCAAGGTGGTGCAATGTGGATGTAATGTGACGTCAATCGTCATAGTTTTAAAAGATTGTATTCTTTTTGAGTTGATTTCATGGCTGCATATTATACTCAAAAGCAGGTAAAGAACATCCGATTTTTTCATATGAGTAATTAATATGTCATGGTGGGTATGGAAACAAAGCGTTCAAAAATGTGATGACCCTTTAACTTGTTTGGAGTAGTGTAGGCAGTTTGTCAGCTCTATGTGGAAGGGGCGGTCGGGTAGCCTAGTGGCTAAAGCGTTCGCTCGTCACGCCGAAGACCCGGGTTCGATTCCCGACATGGGTATAATGTGTGAAGCCCATTTCTGGTTTCCCCGCCGTGATGCTGCTGGAATATTGCTAAAAGGGGTGTACATTACTCACTCACTCACCCACCAACCCACTCACTCACTCACTCACTCAGTGTTCTCACTCATTTCATTCGCAAACAGCTGGTGGCTTCAATCATATTCAGAGATCCATTCATATAATGTCACCACTATTTTGCCATTTATGTCCATTTGAATGTGCGTTGTCGGCTAATCGAGACTGGTTATTCTCTGGCGTTGATGTGTTACATTATAATGATTGAATGGCTTAGAATGGAGATATAAAGGACGCTATGGTAGCGAACAGATTCAGGGTATTTATTGTGATAGAAGGGCGATATAATACTCCGGATAATCGAGACTGGTTATTCTCTGGCGTTGATGTGTTACATTGTAATGTTTGAATGGCTCAGAATGGAGATATAAAGGACGCTATGGTAGTGAACAGATTCAGGGTATTTATTGTGATAGAAGGCCGATATAATACTCCGGATAATCGAGGATGGGGCGATCCACTGCCCGAGAAATACATTATCACAAATTGCCTAAACACAGGCGGTAAAATAAACACGTTATATCTAAACACATAATAGCAAATAAATACGATTATGTCCACTTTCAAGTTACATAACACTTCCAGCAGGCAGGTGATAATTAAACCTACATGTTATAACTAAACACTTAACAGCAAATAAATAGTGACTTCGCTTATGTCCACTTTCCAGCTACATAACACTTTCTGTACTCCTGGCAGGCGGTAATTAAACCTACATGTTATAGCTAAACACTTAATAGCAAATAAATAGTGACTTCGCTTATGTCCACTTTCCAGCTACATAACACTTTCTGTACTCCTGGCAGGCGGTAATTAAACCTACATGTTATAGCTAAACACTTAATAGCAAATAAATAGTGACTTCGCTTATGTCCACTTTCCAGCTACATAACACTTTCTGTACTCCTGGCAGGCGGTAATTAAACCTACATGTTATAGCCAATAAATACGTTTATGTCCACTTTTAAGTTACATAACACTTTCTGGAGGCTAACTAAACACCAGGCAGGTGATAATCCGCTCAATCGAATGTAAATTATCCGTATTTTAGTACAGTCTGTGTACTTTCATAAATTACGAAGTGACCAACCATTTTATATACTGAAGGGTTGTTATTTCAGTCAGAGCTTTAAGGCATACATTTAGTTATATCTAAAAGAAAGGGACCACAATCCAGCCCCTCCACTCCCAATATCAAATGATGGGCCCCTAAATGCTAAAAGACTTAGTTTCGCTTTCTCCCGATCCTGGTCCGCTTGTTGTGAAGAGTTGACTTTTCTGAGACCCGTTTTCATTGAGAACCACACAGAGACCACACAGAGACCTGCTACATTCCATGTTCTTTCACTATCTTCACAATATGATCAATCTGTGACGGGGTGAACTTCTCAAACACACTGAGCATGCGCTGGGTGTTGTCTAGGCGACGGAGATCGGGGTGTTTCTTGATCGAGGTTAAGCTGCTGTTATATAATGCCCCGGATGGAAGGGACGTGGATCCGCCATCTTTGCTGTATATAAGTACGACATCTCCTGCAATAGATCATGGTCAAAATGATATTGTGTCCGTATAAGTGCGAGGACTGTACACATTAATTATATCAAATACCTAATTATTGCGTTCGCCATACTGTAGTCCTGGGTCATGAATATGGTAAGTCTGGATTTAATTTAATCAAAACCAGTCTAGATGATGGCATTAGACAAAAACATTAAATGGAGAAATATTTGTTGTGTAATAATCTTTGTCTAATTATAATATCGCAAAGCACCCTGTAGTAATTTTCATAACCCTGTGCCCTGTTCCAGAAAGTGATCATAGCACTATAACTGTCGTAGGTAAGCATTGACGTATACGATTGATTGACGTTCGCTACGACCGTCGTAGGTCAGCATTAACGTATACATTGTTTTAACGCTCGCTATGGTCGTCGTAGGTCAGCATTAACGTATACATTGTCTTAACGCTCGCTACAACCGTCGTTGGTCAGTATTAACGTATACATTGTTTTAACGCTCGCTATGGTCGTCGTAGGTCAGCATTAACGTATATGATTGTCTTAACGCTCGCTATGGTCGTCGTAGGTCAGCATTAACATATACATTGTCTTAACGCTCGCTACGACCGTCGTTGGTCAGCATTAACATATACATTGTCTTAACGCTCGCTACGACCGTCGTTGGTCAGCATTAACGTATACATTGTCTTAACGCTCGCTACGACCGTCGTTGGTCAGCATTAACATATACATTGTCTTAACGCTCGCTACGACCGTCGTTGGTCAGCATTAACGTATACATTGTCTTAACGCTCGCTACGACCGTCGTTGGTCAGTATTAACGTATACATAGTCCTAACGCTCGCTATGGTCGTCGTAGGTCAGCATTAACGTATATGATTGTCTTAACGCTCGCTATGGTCGTCGTAGGTCAGCATTAACATATCCATTGTCTAAACGCTCGCTACGACCGTCGTTGGTCAACATTAACGTATACATTGTCTTAACGCTCGCTACGACCGTCGTTGGTCAGTATTAACGTATACATAGTCCTAACGCTCGCTATGGTCGTCGTAGGTCAGCATTAACGTATATGATTGTCGTAACGCTCGCTATGGTCGTCGTAGGTCAGCATTAACATATACATTGTCTTAACGCTCGCTACGACCGTCGTTGGTCAGCATTAACGTATACATTGTCTTAACGCTCGCTACGACCGTCGTTGGTCAGTATTAACATATACATAGTCCTAACGCTCGCTATGGTCGTCGTAGGTCAGCATTAACGTATATGATTGTCGTAACGCTCGCTATGGTCGTCGTAGGTCAGCATTAACATATACATTGTCTAAACGCTCGCTACGACCGTCGTTGGTCAGCATTAACGTATAAATTGTCTTAACGCTCGCTATGGTCGTCGTTGGTCAGCATTAACATATACATTGTCTTAACGCTCGCTACGACCGTCGTTGGTCAGCATTAACGTATAAATTGTCTTAACGCTCGCTACGACCGTCGTTGGTCAGCATTAACATATACATTGTCTTAACGCTCGCTACGACCGTCGTTGGTCAGCATTAACGTAGAGGAGATACGATTGTCGTAACGCCATGATGGTTCTGATCATGAGCTTTCTAACCAAATGAGGAACAAGAATGTTTATCATTTGGCCTCACAATGTTTGCAGTGGCTTTCCACAGATGTGTTCTCACCTCCCATTTTCTGGATAGCTTGTACCGTTGTAAGCCGGAGATCCCCCAGTCCCTTTGTAGGGTCCTCGAGGATGACATGTCGTTCATTAAAGTCCACACACACAAAGTAGATTTTACAAAGTGGAAGGTTTAATATTTGCTCGTGTCCTTTGACGTGGTGATTTTCGACAGCAATGTTCTCAGATAGGACAGCCTGGATTTTGGCGTGGTGTTGGTTGGTGGTCTCTGAATGGAAGCCGACCACACACATACGGTTCTCAAGATGGCGGCGTGTCACTCTGTTCAACGTCTTCTCGTCTCCCTGGAAATTCATCTTTTCGTTATGGGCTGTATTTATGTATTTTGCCAGCAACTCAAAATAACAGAACAATAAATAAAGTTGGTTGCTTGAGTTTCGATCTCGCCCAACCCAGACTAAATTGAACAATTAGGAAACAATATTATACAAATACCCAAGAGTTGCTTCCCTTGAAATAATGACGGCAAACATACAATGAAATTATTAAAGGTCTTGCAAAAAACTGTTCACACAGCATTTGTAACTTGATCATGACTCTCACGGTGAGAATCGTGCTTAAAACTTGTCGTGTATTGCAAAATTGTTTACCTTCAGAATATGGACCATGTCGTATTTTCTATGTTACCAAATACGTTTATTTTATATCCATCACAAACAAGACTTACCCGAATGATGTCGTTATCAGGGAGTGGTCCCCCATTAGGGGCCTCTCGCCTTGCCCCTCCCCCGCGGCGGTCCAACATGGCGGCGAGGATGTCACCGAAGTTGGACCACATCTTCCACACAGCAACCATCACAGCGACCTCAAATATCCCCATCAATAGGATGAGGAAAATCCATTCTGGAACAAATAATGATGTACAACAAAAATGTACACTTATCGTGTAGAATGGGACAAGTGGTTGATTATTCGTGTGAGAGATGGGTTTTAACGCACTTGAAACAGCAGTTGTGTTTTGTCAAAGCCTGTCCACTTGATGTGTACCCCACTTGGTGAAACCCAAGAGCAGGGTAGCAACTTAGAAGCACCATCTGGGGGAATTTGGGAGTGGATTCCACGATCATAGTTACTATATACTACAGTTGTAGTTAAACCCAAGAGCAGGGGTAGCGCTGACAACCTAGAAGCACCATCAGGGCGAATCTGGGAGTGGATTCCACGATCATAGTTACTATATACTACAGTTGTAGTTAAACCCAAGAGCAGGGGTAGCGCTGACAACCTAGAAGCACCATCAGGGCGAATCTGGGAGTGGATTCCACGATCATAGTTACTATATACTACAGTTATATCTAAAGAACACATGCTAATTTCATATTACTATATGCTACAGTTATAGTTAAGAACCCATGCTTATTTCATATTACTATATACTGCAGTTATAGTTCAAGAACTCATGATTATGTCACATTACTATATACTACAGTTATAGTTAAAGAACTCATGATTATTTAATATTACTATATACTACAGTTATAGTTAAAGAACTCATGATTATTTAATATTACTATATACTACAGTTATATCTAAAGAACACATGCTAATTTCATATTACTATATGCTACAGTTATAGTTAAGAACCCATGCTTATTTCATATTACTATATACTGCAGTTATAGTTCAAGAACTCATGATTATGTCACATTACTATATACTACAGTTATAGTTAAAGAACTCATGATTATTTCATATTACTATATACTACATTTATAGCTAAAGAACTCATGATTATTTCACATTACTATATACAACATTTGTAGTTAAAGAACCCATGCTAATTTCATATTACTATATGCTACAGTTATAGTTAAAGAACCCATGCTTATTTCATATTACTATATACTGCAGTTATAGTTCAAGAACTCATGATTATGTCACATTACTATATACTACAGTTATAGTTAAAGAACTCATGATTATTTCACATTACTATATACTACAGTTATAGTTAAAGAACTCATGATTATTTAATATTACTATATACTACAGTTATAGTTAAAGAACTCATGATTATTTCACATTACTATATACTACAGTTATAGTTAAAGAACTCATGATTATTTCACATTACTATATACTACAGTTATAGTTAAAGAACTCATGATTATTTAATATTACTATATACTACAGTTATAGTTAAAGAACTCATGATTATTTCACATTACTATATACTACAGTTATAGTTAAAGAACTCATGATTATTTCACATTACTATATACTACAGTTATAGTTAAAGAACTCATGATTATTTCACATTACTATATACTACAGTTATAGTTAAAGAACCCATGCTTATTTAATATTACTATATGCTACAGTTATAGTTAAAGAACTCATGATTATTTCACATTACTATATACAACAGTTATAGTTAAAGAACCCATGCTTATTTAATATTACTATATGCTACAGTTATAGTTAAAGAACTCATGATTATTTCACATTACTATATACTACAGTTATAGTTAAAGAACTCATGATTATTTCACATTACTATATACTACAGTTATAGTTAAAGAACCCATGCTTATTTAATATTACTATATGCTACAGTTATAGTTAAAGAACTCATGATTATTTCACATTACTATATACAACAGTTATAGTTAAAGAACCCATGCTTATTTAATATTACTATATGCTACAGTTATAGTTAAAGAACTCATGATTATTTCACATTACTATATACTACAGTTATAGTTAAAGAACCCATGCTTATTTAATATTACTATATGCTACAGTTATAGTTAAAGAACTCATGATTATTTCACATTACTATATACTACAGTTATAGTTAAAGAACCCATGCTAATTTCATATTACTATATACTACATTTATAGCTAAAGAACTCATGATTATTTCACATTACTATATACTACATTTATAGCTAAAGAACTCATGCTAATTTCATATTACTATATACTACATTTGTAGTTAAAGAACCCATGCTAATTTCATATTACTATATACAACAGTTATAGTTAAAGAACTCATGATTATTTCACATTACTATATACTACAGTTATAGTTAAAGAACTCATGATTATTTAATATTACTATATACTACAGTTATAGTTAAAGAACTCATGATTATTTCACATTACTATACACTACAGTTATAGTTAAAGAACTCATGATTATTTAATATTACTATATACTACAGTTATAGTTAAAGAACCCATGCTTATTTAATATTATTTTTACTACAGTTATAGTTTAAGAACTCATGAGCATTTCACATTACTATATACTACAGTTGTAGTTAAAGAACTCATGCTTATTTCATATTACTATATACTACATTTATAGCTAAAGAACTCATGATTATTTCACATTACTATATACAACATTTGTAGTTAAAGAACCCATGCTAATTTCACATTACTATATACTACAGTTGTAGTTAAAGAACTCATGATTATTTCACATTACTATATACTACAGTTATAGTTATAGAACTCATGATTATTTCATATTACTATATGCTACAGTTATAGTTAAAGAACTCATGATTATTTCACATTACTATATACTACAGTTATAGTTAAAGACCTCATGATTATTTCACATTACAACAGTTAATCTGTCATGGCGTGACAATCTTTCAGGACATCCAGCATGTCCCAAGAAGAGTTTATTTTTGTACATACCCTTCGACAAAAACTTGTTCCTGAGTTCTTCCAAGCGACCGTCGAGGATGTAGCTTTTCAGCTCAACGTTGGAGTAGTTGCTAAACATGTCGTCACGTATAACCGTGATGTTGGCCTCTAACCACTTAATCCTTTCCTGGTCTGCGAAGTTTCGCGCCAAGCACTGTTCCAGATCTGTGCCCATGGCGCTCATCTTCCGATGCAGCCCGGGATCCACTTCGACAGTCGCTGACGGGATGGAGTTGTTGCTGTTCCAGACGTTGACAAAGGCGGGGGCGAAATACAGGGTGCCGAGTGTCCCCAGTATGCCGCCTGCGAATCCCCTAAAAATAAAGTTCACGAGTGAGTGAGTGAGTAAGTGAGTGAGTGAGTGAGTGAGTGAACGTAGCATTATAACAGTATTTCAGATACATCACGGCCTGACGGCTTCATGATGGAGGAACGCAACTTTGGTGAAACCTAGAAACTTATCAGCTCGAAATGGGATTCGAACTTAGGGTCATAGTGTTCTGACACCCCTAAGGGACGCAACTCCACACAGCAACGGCTGCCTCACCTTAAAGTTAATCCCATTCTAATATATATAAGTTCTTAGTTACATTTTCGGTGGCAAAGGTGTGTCGGGATCTAACTCAGTATTGTTAAACGGGGTAATCAGCAATTTGTAACGATATCACTCTAGACTGTAAATCATAGAGTCTTGACAAGGCAAACCAGTGACCGAAAGCATGAACACGGATCTACGTCATGGGGGTATAGCTTACTTTTGTCAGCTTTTCTGACAACCATGGCGTACTCCGGAGCAATTCTGACAATAGATCGCAAAAGGATATGTTTTTCTTTGAGAGATATGTAAACCGTTTTGAAACATTGTGTAAGATTTTATTCCAAAGTCCCGCCATCAGTAGTTAACGTAAACTACAACGAAAAGTATTTTAATTTATTTTGCAAAATTTCGTCACAAACTACGCAGGAATTTTATAAAACATCGGCGTAGATACGCGGGGATTCCGTAGAAGTTTTGTGTAAAAGATTTGTGTCCTTGTCGTCTAAGGCACTGATGTTGGTTTGCAGAGTTGTGTCCCTTAGTGATGTCAGGACATTATGACCGTTGGTTCGAATCCTAGACACGTCCTGATTATGGTCGCTATCATCAACTTGTCCTTGTCCGTCTACCCCGCCGTCCACCACGTCTAGTGGTGAGTGAGGATGGTTTTACGCCGCTTTAGCAATATTCCGGCAATATCACGGCGGGGGACACCAGACACCGCGTTTAGAAAGGATTACAACAAGACGAAATACTCACGTGGTTATCGACATTGCACATATGAATAAGACTGGAATCTTCGGATGGAGGTCTGTGTGTGGCTTCTCACTCCTCGGGGTATCTGCAGCAGGACTTCTGTTTGTCACTGTGGTATCTTTGTTAGACAATGTCGAATCCGACTTAGCGTCTGACTGTGATCCCTCAGTTCTGAGGGTATCTGCAGCAGGACTTCTGTTTGTCACTGTGGTATCTTTGTTAGACAATGTCGAATCCGACTTAGCGTCTGACTGTGATCCCTCAGTTCTGAGCGTATCTGCAGCAGGACTTCTGTTTGTCACTGTGGTATCTTTGTTAGACAATGTCGAATCCGACTTAGCGTCTGACTGTGATCCCTCAGTTCTGAGGGTATCTGCAGCAGGACTTCTGTTTGTCACTGTGGTATCTTTGTTAGACAATGTCGAATCCGACTTAGCGTCTGACTGTGATCCCTCAGTTCTGAGGGTATCTGCAGCAGGACTTCTGTTTGTCACTGTGGTATCTTTGTTAGACAATGTCGAATCCGACTTAGCGTCTGACTGTGATCCCTCAGTTCTGAGGGTATCTGCAGCAGGACTTCTGTTTGTCACTGTGGTATCTTTGTTAGACAATGTCGAATCCGACTTAGCGTCTGACTGTGATCCCTCAGTTCTGAGGGTATCTGTAGCAGGACCTCTGTTTGTCACTGTGGTATCTTTGTTAGACAATGTCGAATCCGACTTAGCGTCTGACTGTAATCCCTCAGTTCTGAGGGTATCTGTAGCAGGACCTCTGTTTGTCACTTTGGTATCTTTGTTAGACAATGTCGAATCCGACTTAGCGTCTGATTGTGATCCCTCAGTTCTGAGGGTATCTGCAGCAGGACTTCTGTTTGTCACTGTGGTATCTTTGTTAGACAATGTCGAATCCGACTTAGCGTCTGACTGTGATCCCTCAGTTCTGAGGGTATCTGTAGCAGGACCTCTGTTTGTCACTGTGGTATCTTTGTTAGACAATGTCGAATCCGACTTAGCGTCTGACTGTGATCCCTCAGTTCTGAGGGTATCTGCAGCAGGACTTCTGTTTGTCACTGTGGTATCTTTGTTAGACAATGTCGAATCCGACTTAGCGTCTGACTGTGATCCCTCAGTTCTGAGGGTATCTGTAGCAGGACCTCTGTTTGTCACTGTGGTATCTTTGTTAGACAATGTCGAATCCGACTTAGCGTCTGACTGTGATCCCTCAGTTCTGAGGGTATCTGTAGCAGGACCTCTGTTTGTCACTGTGGTATCTTTGTTAGACAATGTCGAATCCGACTTAGCGTCTGACTGTGATCCCTCAGTTCTGAGCGTATCTGCAGCAGGACTTCTGTTTGTCACTGTGGTATCTTTGTTAGACAATGTCGAATCCGACTTAGCGTCTGACTGTGATCCCTCAGTTCTGAGGGTATCTGCAGCAGGACTTCTGTTTGTCACTGTGGTATCTTTGTTAGACAATGTCGAATCCGACTTAGCGTCTGACTGTGATCCCTCAGTTCTGAGGGTATCTGCAGCAGGACTTCTGTTTGTCACTGTGGTATCTTTGTTAGACAATGTCGAATCCGACTTAGCGTCTGACTGTGATCCCTCAGTTCTGAGGGTATCTGCAGCAGGACTTCTGTTTGTCACTGTGGTATCTTTGTTAGACAATGTCGAATCCGACTTAGCGTCTGACTGTGATCCCTCAGTTCTGAGGGTATCTGTAGCAGGACCTCTGTTTGTCACTGTGGTATCTTTGTTAGACAATGTCGAATCCGACTTAGCGTCTGACTGTAATCCCTCAGTTCTGAGGGTATCTGTAGCAGGACCTCTGTTTGTCACTTTGGTATCTTTGTTAGACAATGTCGAATCCGACTTAGCGTCTGATTGTGATCCCTCAGTTCTGAGGGTATCTGCAGCAGGACTTCTGTTTGTCACTGTGGTATCTTTGTTAGACAATGTCGAATCCGACTTAGCGTCTGACTGTGATCCCTCAGTTCTGAGGGTATCTGTAGCAGGACCTCTGTTTGTCACTGTGGTATCTTTGTTAGACAATGTCGAATCCGACTTAGCGTCTGACTGTGATCCTTCAGTTCTGAGGGTATCTGTAGCAGGACCTCTGTTTGTCACTGTGGTATCTTTGTTAGACAATGTCGAATCCGACTTAGCGTCTGACTGTGATCCCTCAGTTCTGAGCGTATCTGTAGCGGGACCTCTGTTTGTCACTGTGGTATCTTTGTTAGACAATGTCGAATCCGACTTAGCGTCTGACTGTAATCCCTCAGTTCTGAGGGTATCTGTAGCAGGACCTCTGTTTGTCACTGTGGTATCTTTGTTAGACAATGTCGAATCCGACTTAGCGTCTGACTGTGATCCCTCAGTTCTGAGGGTATCTGTAGCAGGACCTCTGTTTGTCACTGTGGTAGCTCCCTTAGTTGGTTCACCGCCGGGTCCAGATTTAATCCCGTCAACGGTTATCTCCCTTCCTCGTCCCGCCCCGTGTTCTGTTTGATTTGTTTTTTGTCCTGAACCTGCTTTGCCTATCGCCAGTGGCTTTTTTCTCTCAGCCCGAGACGCCATTCATGCGTGAATAATGGAGTCGGTGCAGTTGTAAGAGCGGGCGACAAGGCTGCCATTCACAGTGCCGTTCACATATGCTTAGTCGTTATACACTTCCATCAACAATAGTAAGGTTCAACCCGGCCAATGGCTTATCAGCTGCTTCTAAACCTCACTAGGTCACACGGACGGTTCGCGGAACTATATCGCCTTCTCCGCTGAAGAGAAATATACCTAATGCTCGATCAGGTCCTTTTAAATATATCCCGATTCAGTCAATTGTTAGATGTCCCGTTAGGACGTGCGATCAATGTATTTGTGTCTCGACGTTCTTTATACTCACTGCGCAATATAAAACCAGTTTCAAGGGTCGCCCTGACCTTAACATCGCATCCAAGAAACGATCGACACGTCTAGTGAATCGACAGCCCGGGGTCCTGGGGATTCCCCTAAATCCGCCTTACGTACTGATCGCTACGCGGGAGTAAATAGTTCTCAATGCACCGTGTGTCACTGCTGTTAAGGTATGGTTTTAAGTGACAGCACGTCGCATGTATACGTAGCGAGATTTAAACGTTGTAATATCATTCTTACATAGTGAGTATCAATTGCTGAACACGTGTCGCTTACACAAACCCTTGACTGCAAACAAAGGCGTAGGAATATGTGGTTAAAAATAACCACAGGTAATGTTGAGCTCGGCGTATGGATAAGAACCCCTGCCCAGCATAACACGCCATATTTCTCTCGGAGGCGCAGTGAGGGCTGGATCGAGGTAGGTTTCTGCCAAGTAGGGCAGTGTACACACACTATACATGTTGACATGTTTTCATACGCGTCGTGTGTGTATTTTAACACGTGAAAACAAGGTTAACAGTCTCTTCCTTCCCTGAATATGGCAGCTGTTGTTTGGTCGGCACAACAACACAACATAGTTCTCTCGGAGTTGTTGTGAGTGCTGGGTTGAGGTTAGTGTCAACCGAGTAGGTGATGTCAAAACAAGCTTGCATCTCCTCCAACCCCGCATATAGTTGCATGACCACTGTCCCTGGCCATCCTGTAACTGTTTGGACACTTGACCGCCGACCGAGGAATAAATTGTCATGGCTGTGTTTCCGCTTCGCGACTGGTACGAATATAATTGAGTCCGCGAGGTGCGGTGAACTCTGAACTGTTTGTTTGTTTGTTTGTTTGTTTGTTTGTTGTTGAACGTCGCACTCAGTAATATTCAATCTACATGACGGTGGTCTGGACCAGACAATCCAGTGATTGACGTCATGAGTATTTCACTAGTATAATTGCTAGGTAGCCAAGTGACTACGCCGAAGCTCCTAGTACGATTCCTACATACGTACAAGATGTGACGCCCATTTCTGGCGTCCCCCGCCGTGATATTGACGGAATAGTGTTAACAGAGGCGTAAATATATACTCACTCACTCATGTGGAAAGAGACCCGGAAGTGAAGCTTGTAACAAACATTTAACACTACCAAAAATCAGATCAAGTGTCACCATCGGGTCAAATCTTGGACTCGAACCTTTGACCTGTCGATCTAGTGGGCTAACGGGTATGGCTCGAGAGAGTTTTTTTCACAGCTGTCTGTATAGATGGTAATTCTTGTTCATGCAAAGCTGACGAATATATAGCTGCTGATGAGAATTCTTTCACACCACTTTTACCAATTCCGTCTCCCTATTGCATGGATCGATGCTCATGATATCAATCACTATTTACTGTTATTTACAGACAGCCGTCATATATCTGTACTATTCCTGAGTGCGGCGTTAAACAACAAACAAAACAAAACCAATTCCGTCTGTAAATAATGATAAAAATACTCATGACGATATTGATAACAATGACGAATGGGTAACAGCAAATGTAATAACCGTTTTTTATATGAATCCATATTTATAATGAAAACATTTTAAATATTTTTTGCGAAAGCTAATATACATGAATTTGGTGAATGGTTTATAGTGTTTTCGCCGTTGTCAAGTCGACCGTGAATGTCGCCACATTACCAAGTCGCGTCGTTAGATCACGCCCTCTGCGTATTGAAGTATCGGTATGAGCCAGGCTCGAGGCTAATCCGTGATATCTTGAAGTTGACATGTCAAACCTGGCCCCTCGCGTCAAGATGGCCGGCTCGTCTGCAGCCTGGAAAGCGGTTGTTCAGTTATGCCCCTGTTCCTATTAAATCTACAGGTTAATATCAAACCACACGAAAGATCGGGGTTGTCTTCTTCCTTCTGACACTTGTCTGAGGCAGGGAGAAAGTAAACGGCATTGGCAGCCATTGACAGTTAGAGGTATTTATTTTCAATGTGTATTAATTACTGAGGGTATTTGCTGACTAACTAATAAGACTTACACATGTAACATGAATAGTATGTTAATTCATAAAGTTTGTTGGAGAAATATATTCGTTTAGCATTTTAACTATTGCTACAACCTGTCACCCCTTCAGTGGAAAATGGCATGACAGTTTCCAAGAAATGACTTGTCGCACTGATTGTCAAGAAATGAAACAGTCCAAACAGGTTGCGATGAAATGATACCATATCTTTGGACTAAATTTTGACGGTTATTTTGCAACTTCTTTTTCAAAAACTATGTGTTTTGAACACTTAGTTTGAACTACTCTAGACTAAGAGTATGTTAATGTTGAACTTTAGTATCATTTCTTACTAATATGTGACCCCTTTTCGGACAGTTCTAAGATAGCGGACCTTGGACCATGTTTAGTCACGCGTTGCAAGAGAGCACTGTTTTCAGAGAGCTAATTTACTTTCCGAGTCCACTGTGTATATTTAGAACAGTTATCATGGTTATGTACATCTAAAACATTATTTCATTTTTTAAAAAATCTGAAACACCAAATAGAGTGATGAATAGATGAGTGAAAAGATATTGTTTATCCAATGAAAATGTAATAACCCAATTAAAATGGAAACCCAAGATTAAAATCTCAACTGCTCAAAACATTATCTGGAGCTCTGTAGTGTTATACTTAAGCAATTTTGACACGAAAAGCTGTAGCTATCTAGCGAATAAAAAGTCAATTGGAGACGTCTAGAATTGTGAGGTCAGCTTCGCTAGATTGGCCCACGACCCTACATAGATTGATACGTATATGATACACATTTAGAATTGATTTACTATCAAAAGCACAAATGTTTGTGCGAAATTGTGTACACACAATGTAGACATGACCCGTTGATGAATAGAATCTGGCCCATTCCACCACCCGTCAAGGCAAAGTTAGGGTCAAAGTGGTGTGTTGCCGGATAGGCGCCCCCAACCACCAGACTTCCTTCCTCTGCTGACACAGGGGCGCAACCCACCGCAAACAGGTTGCCCAATTCGATCGCCTCTTACGACCAAGCAATGGGGTGCTGGGGACACACCCTACCCCACGTCTGCTGACACAGGGGCGCAACCCACCGCAAACAGGTTGCCCAATTCGATCGCCTCTTACAACCAAGCAATGGGGTGCTGGGGACACACCCTACCCCACGTCTGCTGACACAGGGGCGCAACCCACCGCAAACAGGTTGCCCAATTCGATCGCCTCTTACGACCAAGCAATGGGGTGCTGGGGACACACCCTACCCCACGTCCACATGGCACTACTAAAGAAGGAAGAAAGTTGCAGTACTACGATGACACAATGTCATAGAGACATTTTAGTAGGCTCTTACATGCATAGCGTGATATGGACCTATTTGACTCCGGGATTCTCAACGGAATTTCCCAATAACAGTTTCTGTTTCAGTTTATTGAAACTCGCTGCGTAGTTTGCCAACAGAACGTGCACATGGCTGATACTATGAGCGGGTAGTGAGCATGTCTATTGTCAATAGCACTGATTAAGAATCTTCACGAGTGAAAAAAACAACATATTAAATCTAAACATATTTATGATGTCATTGTATTGATTCTACATTTGGTTTTGCAGTAAATATTCTGTTTTTATGTAAACGTTAGCCAGTGGGTTGAGGGGTGAGCAACTTTCTTCTTGTCAAAATTGGTTGACAAAAAAACATTGGGTGGAAAAAGTGGCCTCCACTGTTTGTTTGGGCCTGGCCTATACTGGTACACACAGGTCTGTGGACGGTGGGCGCCACGCATGCTGGGGCAGTCCCCAATAGTGTTGTCGTACTACTGTTGCCAGTCACAGAGCAACTCTCACCCTAGCACACCTTTGAAGCGTGCCACTCATTCCTTATCATGATCATTGGAGTCACCCTCTGGTCCAGTAATCCTTCCTGTGTTTCCCAGTCATAGAAAACGCGTTAGCCAGGAAAGGATAGATACGAGGATATATAGCCAAAGTGCAATACGTTTGATTTGCATTCCATTCTCATGATCACAGTGGGGGCACTGGTGGCCCAGTCGTCTAAGGCGCCGCGATTCGCTGTGCAGAGCTGCGTCCCTTGGGCATGCCAGAAACTTATGATTGTGGGTTCGAATCCCGGTTCGCCCTGATTATGTTTCTAGGTTTGTCATCACCATACCCGTGCTCGTGGGTTTCACCGAAGCGGTAAACGTCTGAGACCCGCATCACGTCGGGCTTTCCTACCACATTAAGCTGACACGCCGCAATATAACTGGAATACTGTTAAAAGCGGCGTTAAATCCAACTCACTCACTCACTCATGATCACAGTGGCGCATTAATACGTTTACACAAGGGTCCTGAGTGACGTCATGCGGCTGACTGATAACTTCACATTCCTAGATAAGATCAAATAAGTGTTTGTTGTTTAACATGCCACTCAGCAATATTCCTAGATATGGGGTTTGTCCTCCTTCACTTAGTAGCAGATATTAACAATACTTTACCCATGAATATAGACAGAATGAACGTAGCGCAAGTTCTTCATTGCTTTTTTAGAATTTGATTTTATTTCCCTTGTCGATTATTTGTAGCTGAATCATCTAAATATATAAAAGAATAGATTAATAAAATAGATAAGAATAAAATAATATAAATAAATTAAAACAATAAAATAAATAAATTAATACAAAAATATTGTTTTAATAGTAAATATGAAGCGAGGTGAAGAAAGAACAGACAATGAGTACGTCTGGGACTTTCAATTTATGTTTTCAGAATTTCAAAATGGAGGCGGTTGATCGCGAATCCTTTTCCGTGTTGGGCGAAGACTCGGACGCCGAGACGGACATACAGGAAGAGGACTGGACGCCGGACTTTAAGAAAAACCAGAAGCGGATGAGCATCATCAGGAAAATACAGCAGCTGTGTGGGAAGGATGACAGCAACTCCACGCCTCTCCATGTTGTCGTTATAGGTGAGTATTGATTTCAGTCCTGGTCACAATGGCAAGGATGACGGCAGCTCCAAGCCTCTCCATGTTGTCGTTATAGGTGAGTATTGATTTCAGTCCTGGTCACAATGGCAAGGATGACGGCAGCTCCAAGCCTCTCCATGTTGTCGTTATAGGTGAGTATTGATTTCAGTCCTGGTCACAATGGCAAGGATGACGGCAGCTCCAAGCCTCTCCATGTTGTCGTTATAGGTGAGTATTGATTTCAGTCCTGTTCAAGAGATGAGGCAGGCTCGCGTGGCCTTGTTGTCTGTGGAGTGGCAACTGGCTGTGCAGAGTTATGTCCCTTAGGCGTTCAGAATCCTGGATCGTGGTTAAAATCTCTGATTCGCCCAGATTTTGATTCTTGGTGTCATACCTGTTTCTCCAAACTTGTAAGCGTCTGGAACCAGCATTGTGTGGTGTTTTCTGTCCTTCTTAAAGGTTTGCATCGAGTGCTTATTCCAAGCGCTGCTTAATCCAACAAGTCGTTTCTACACTTAAGACGCACCTGTAGTTATTACACTGTGTTGTGTGCAAAATGTTAACTCTACTTTGACTAACGTAGGTCACGTGTTACTGAACGACTGTCAGCCTCTGGGTACAGCTCGATGGCCTCCTTTAAGCGCCACGGCGACACATAACATAAACACTGTCAATGTTTGGTTAAACTCACTCACTCACCCACGTGACTGTATGGTTATCTATATTGCCAGGGCCTGCTGGGGTGGGGAAGTCGGCGTTTATCAACACTGTCGGAGCTGCGTTTGACGGCGACAGGTGGCGGGAGCACAGCTACTCGGGGTCTCACGGCGAGGCGGGAGGACAGATCACGGTATTTACCACAAAGTAAGATGCATGTGAAGCCTCTATAACTCAAATCTCATTGAAAAAGTCGTGTTATTCGAAGTTCGAAAGAGTTGATATTGGACCATAGTGTCAATAATGAAGCTGTCGTGGCATAAAAGTAGTTTTAGGGCACGGGTGCAGAGTTCCGTCCCTTTGGTGTGCCAGGATCTGATGATAGTGGGTCCAAATCTTAGATTCCTTAATTCAGCATCAATATTTGAGTGTTTGTTTACGCTACGTTGTTCAATCACCTATTTTTGACCAACCAATCAAACGATGACCGGTTCCAGTGAGAGGAAATCCAATCGAACCCTCAGATTATATTACACAAGCGGCAGTATTATAGGCTTGATTTCGTGTGGAACGTGTCATATCCTTGTAGATGCACTACACAAGCGGCAGTATTATAGGCTTGACTTCGTGTAGAACGTGTCATATCCTTGTAGCTGCTCTACACAAGCGGCAGTATTATAGGCTTGACTTCGTGTGGAACGTGTCATATCCTTGTAGATGCACTACACAAGCGGCAGTATTATAGGCTTGATTTCGTGTGGAACGTGTCATATCCTTGTAGATGCACTACACAAGCGGCAGTATTATAGGCTTGACTTCGTGTAGAACGTGTCATATCCTTGTAGCTGCTCTACACAAGCGGCAGTATTATAGGCTTGACTTCGTGTAGAACGTGTCATATCCTTGTAGATGCTCTACACAAGCGGCAGTATTATAGGCTTGACTTCGTGTGGGACGTGTCATATCCTTGTAGATGCTCTACACAAGCGGCAGTATTAAAGGCTTGACTTCGTGTAGAACGTGTCATATCCTTGTAGATGCTCTACACAAGCGGCAGTATTATAGGCTTGACTTCGTGTAGAACGTGTCATATCCTTGTAGATGCACTACACAAGCGGCAGTATTATAGGCTTGACTTCGTGTAGAACGTGTCATATCCTTGTAGCTGCTCTACACAAGCGGCAGTATTATAGGCTTGACTTCGTGTGGGACGTGTCATATCCTTGTAGCTGCCCTAGACTTTCGTTCAATGCCAGACAATGGTAGGGTTCACACACAATTCATGCACCCAGTAGGGTTTATTCCACACCTCATTTCATGACTGTAAACAGACCGCATTTCGGCCCTTAGTGTTAACTAGCGATAGAGGAGGGTGTGTGTGTGTGTGTGTGTGTGGGGGGGGGGGGGGGGGGGGGGGGGGGTATATATACCTGGGGAGTATTGACCATGCCTTTAATTAGGATCCTTGGCATGTCAGCTCTATTCACCAAAGCGGTACAGCTCTATTTGTGTGTTTGTTTGTTTGTTGTTTAACGCCGCACTCAGCAATATTCCAGCTATATGACGGCGGGCTGTATATAATCGAGTCTTGACCAGACAATCCAGTGATTAACATCATGAACATCGATCCACACAATTGGGATACGATGACATACATCAACCAAGTCAGCGAGCCTGACCACCCGATCCCGATAGTCGCCTCTTACGACAAGCATAGTCACCTTTTACGGCAAGCATGGGTTGCTGATGACCTATTTTACCCCGGATCTTCACGGGTCCGGTACAGCTCTCAGTCGTGGCTGATACTAGAAAGTAGGGTGTATAAAGCAAGACGCGATACTTACTCCATAAAGGACCTTATTACCCAAAGAGTTAGAAATAACAGAGTTAATAATATCGTATGTGCACAAGTGCAAATATCACTCCACCAGTGCATTGTTTACGTCATCCGGACGGCGTTTTGACGTCATTAGAATCTTATTGTGACGTAGAGTTCGGAATGACGTCACACTGGAAACGCCGTCATAGCTGAAGAATAGATAATTGTGGTTTTCAATGACCGCGGTCGTGATAAGTGATTTTTCTCAAGGGGGGCATGAAAACGGATAAAGAAATTATGGGTAATAAAGAATTTTTCACGATCGCATGTGAGTTACACTCACTCGCTCGGGAAATGCGCGAATTCTTACACTTGTTTCGAATGACACACATGCTCGTATAATAATCTCTATAAAGCCCACCGCATCACTTTACAAAAACTTGTTTCTTCTGCCAGCTATGAGAAGTGCTGCAAGGCCGATAAGTACCCGGATGATCTTCTACCAACCCTCATCGATGTGGCTGGATTTCACGACCAGGCCGGGGATGAGTTTGTGGAACTACTTCGCATTGTGTTCTACGGTCGACTTCCGGTTGGCGAATCACTGGCGGAAGCGGCGAAGTACTACAAGGATTGTGGACTGGAAGGACTCCGGTCCAAGTACAACCAGAACAATGAGAAGCTGAAGGTAGACCGTGTCATCTTTCTCTCCTCCGCCATCCAGCTCGTCCCAGAGAACCTCATTTCATGCGTCATGCAGGCGGCCAGACCGTCGGGAATCCAAGACAAAAAGAGAAGTGAGCACCAGTTAGAAATCTCTCGGGTTCAGGTTAGAACAGGTCCCCAGGGGAGCGATCCACAAAGCGTTTGTAGCACTACAATGTTCGCAAACCTGTGTTAGACTATATTATCTCGATAGCTACGAAGGCTTTGTGGGTCAGGGCCAGGAACCTCATAGTTGGTCGTAAGAGGCAATTAGATGGACGGGTGGTCAGCCTTGGTGACTACGAGTAACAAGACTAAATTTGACATCTGTCTGCCATGAAGGCACCATATGTTGAGACACAATAAAAACGTATTTGGGACTCCGGTTTATAAGAGATAGGACGATACAATACAAAAAGCAAAAGTGGCAGTAGGTTTATGACTAGATTTCAACAACCTGTGCTTGTCGTTGGAAGGATTGTCGACTTGATGAATAGGGTGGTCTGATTCGGCGGCTTGGGGTGAGTGCTAGCCATAATCTTATTCGCCCTGATTATGTTATGTTTTTTAGCACCATACCTGTAAATATCTTAGATCTGTATCACTTCGGGTTTCATCCCACAGGAAGCTGACACGCCGTGTGATAACTGAAATACTGTGATTTTAAAAGAAACTCAATCACTCCCACTTACTCAATAATTAATACAATATTTCATCTTTCAGCAATTCCGTTGTTCGGCGTCATGACGAAGTACGACAAGGTGGTGCCACAGGCAGAGTTCGAGAAGCTGAAAGAAAAGGCAGGATCCAATTCTGCCAAAATTGATGTCATCGGACAAGTGGACTATGATAAGCGAGAGAGTCGGTTCATCGAGGCGTTAGGTCTTGGAGGATCCAAACATCGGTTCCTTCGCTGCTCCAACTACTGCGATGACGTCGACAAGGACCACAGGCGCACAGAAACCGTCATCCCTGACCTTGACATTCCGGTGCTGAAATTCTTCACCCAGGTCACTGACCCCGTCATGAAAGTGCTGAGCAAGGATGAGTCCTACTCCCGTGGACTCGCACCGGAAACGGTTCCCGAACCGGAAGTTGAGACCACGACGCAAACGCGGGCACCGAAAGGCGCGACTCCAGAAAAAGGAAGCCGAACGGGAATTGTTGAGAATTTTGGTGAAACTGGGGTGTCGGTTCTGTTGATTACCATCGAGGCGATCTTTGTAGCTTTTTTCCTCAACTTCCTTCTGAAGTCCCAGGTTGACGTCAACAAAGTGAAAGTAGCCTGTCAATTTATGACGGCCCGAAACACCCCCCATGCCCAGGTCGGGATGACAGACATATGCAAGGACGTGAACAGCTCGGATGACTGGACCAGTCTGACGTTCTACATTGCACTTATCATGATGATTGTCATCAGAGTGGCATCGACGCTGGCCACCATACATATCTTTCGACGTAACTGATGGCCCCGGATTCTTCATTGTTCTGTTCAGGTTTGCCATCGCTTGACAGCATGATAATTCACACTCGCAGTTTTCTGTCTTTCATTGGTACATACGCTATACTGGAGGAATGAGTGAGTGAGTGAATGACTGTTGTTTTAAACCGCATTTTGGTAGCAGTGTGACAGTTTAACGGCGGGGGACACCAGAAATTGTGTCACACATTGTTCACACGTAGGACATTGAACCCGGACCATCGGCGTAACGAGCCAACACGTACACCACAAGGCTAACCTACCGTGTAAGAATGTCCCGAAGCAATTACAAGGTGGCTTACTTTCAGAGACAAAGAATTGTGTGAAATACGTTAAAGATGACACCAAGGACTGTGTTCGATCGCCTAGGGTGATTTAAACACTCGAAGGTGGGCCCTCCCTCGGTCATTGTTAAAGGCGCCACACCTTCACTTAACTTTGTAGATAGTCGGATTTAGTTTCTCTTAAAGGCCGAACTCATAATTATATGTGCGTAATGTATTATGTTAACAGTGAAACCTCGTTAATCCAGACAGGACAGTCTCCTATGAAATCACCCGGACATCAACACCCGGATTAACTTAGAGCGCTTGTTTTATTATAAATATAGTTCCTTTGTAAATATATATATGCAGACGGTTCCAACAGTATTCGTCCAGAAGGCAATGTGTCTGGATTAGGGTTTCGCTGTCCAACTGTCGATAATAATTGTAACCGGACTCAATAAAGAACATATGTTCTTCAATAATTTATTTTTTTTTCACAAAAGGAAACGACCCGGATGTTAAAAAGTCTTTTCCTTTGCGATGGTCTCCTACATACCATCCTCGCGCATCCAGGGTGTTATCACAACATCAACGATTCTATTACGATAAAGATCCTGGAGCCATTCACTACAGTACTGCTTTGTTTATGAAATAGTCGAATGACACTACGAGTGATAGTGCCGTCTACCCAGGGTACATTTACATTCATCTGTGGGCAATCACTGATTAGCGATGTAAAGATTTGCTGGAATCCAGAGTATTTATAGAATGGGGATTAAATACACTGGATAAACTAGGGTTTCATTGTCATAAGAATGGGCCCCCACAAGCTAAACTAAATTACATTTTTGAAAAACTGGAAAGACACCTGGTGTTCGCGAAACAGTTTCCTGTTTCCTGTTTTCGAGGTAAATCCGTCATTAGTGGAGATTTAGGGGCATGAGGGAAAGGGTTCGGTTTGACGCCGCTTTGTGCGTGTTTTACTCATGTCATGCAATGTCGGCACAAATTGGGAGTGAGTGAGTTTGGTTTGACGCCGCTCTGTGCCTGTTTTACTCATATCATGCAATGTCGGCACAAATTGGGAGTGAGTGAGTTTGGTTTGACGCACGCCGCTTTATATTCTAGCAATATTCCAGCAATATCATGACGGGAAACACCAGAAATGAGGGGAATCGAACGAGACGAGCGAACGCTTTAACTACGAGGCTACCCCACCGCCCTCAAAAATTGAGAGGAGTGAGTGAGTTGGGTTTAACGCCACTTTAACACTTTTCCAGTAATTTCGCGGCGTGCCAGCTCAATGTGGGAGGAAAGCCCCAAGTGATGCAGGTCTTAGACGTTTACCACTTCGGTGAAACCCACGAGCACGGGTATGGTGCTGACAAACCTAGAAACATAATCGGGGCGAACCGGAATTCGAACCCACAATCATAGGTTTCTGGCGTGCCCAAGGGACGCAACTCTGCACAGAGAATCGCAGCGCCCTAGACGACTGGGCCACCCGTGCCCCCTAAATTGAGAGGAAAGCTCCAGGTGACGCATTAACCACTGTTAAGAAACATACCAGCAAGATATGGTGCCGAGAAATAATGAAAAGTATCAGATCGAACCCACGATCACGGTAATGATAATGCACGATTATAGGATACTGACAGTCATAAGGGACGCAACTCCGCACAGTAAATTGCGGCGCCTTGGACCATTCAGCCGCCAGTACCCTCAAATGTCCCTTCCAGTAAACACAGATAGTTGTAGATGCAGAGATGCATCTGTGAATGTTGTTGCTTGGTGTTCCAGTAAACACAGATAGTTGTAGATGCACTGACGCATCTGTGAATGTTGTTGCTTGGTGTTCCAGTAAACACAGATAGTTGTAGATGCACTGACGCATCTGTTAATGTTGTTGCTTGGTGTTCCAGTAAACACAGATAGTTGTAGATGCAGAGACGCATCTGTGAATGTTGTTGCTTGGTGTTCCAGTAAACACAGATAGTTGTAGATACAGAGACGCATCTGTGAATGTTGTTGCTTGGTGTTCCAGTAAACACAGATAGTTGTAGATGCACTGACGCATCTGTGAAAGTTGTTGTTCTTGGGTGATCCCAGTACAGTAAACTAACACGCTTATAACGAAGTGACGGATATAACGAACTCAAGGGGAACAATATGTCGTTTAGTGTATTTCAAAGGTAGTTTGCATTTGTTTGACATTCACGTGAACGACACAACTGTTGCTGGTAAACAGCGCAACTTTGAGCCCTGTATATGTTTGACATTCACGTGAACGACACAACTGTTGCTGGTAAACAGCGCAACTTTGAGCCCTGTATATGTTTGACATTCACGTGAACGACACAACTGTTGCTGGTAAACAGCGCAACTTTGAGCCCTGTATATGTTTGACATTCACGTGAACGACACAACTGTTGCTGGTAAACAGCGCAACTTTGAGCCCTGTATATGTTTGACATTCACGTGAACGACACAACTGTTGCTGGTAAACAGCGCAACTTTGAGCCCTGTATATGTTTGACATTCACGTGAACGACACAACTGTTGCTGGTAAACAGCGCAACTTTGAGCCCTGTATATGTTTGACATTCACGTGAACGACACAACTGTTGCTGGTAAACAGCGCAACTTGGAGCCCTGTATATGTTTGACATTCACGTGAACGACACAACTGTTGCTGGTAAACAGCGCAACTTTGAGCCCTGTATATGTTTGACATTCACGTGAACGACACAACTGTTGCTGGTAAACAGCGCAACTTGGAGCCCTGTATATGTTTGACATTCACGTGAACGACACAACTGTTGCTGGTAAACAGCGCAACTTGGAGCCCTGTATATGTTTGACATTCACGTGAACGAAACAACTGTTGCTGGTAAACAGCGCAACTTTGAGCCCTGTATATGTTTGATATTCACGTGAACGACACAACTGTTGCTGGTAAACAGCGCAACTTTGACCCCTGCATATGTTTGACATTCACGTGAACGACACTGTTGCTGGCAACAGCGCAACTTTGACCCCTGCATATGTTTGAACCGGGCCACTCATTCCTAATTATTGGGATCACCACTCAGGTCCAGTTATCTGTCCAGTGTTGTCCAGTGAGCCACGAGGAACACGTTTCCGAGGAATGGAAAGATCCCAGGATATTTATTTAGTCATAGGTTTGATATGCAGTCGAAAACGGAAAATATGTTTGTGTTGTCAAACACTGCACGTCAGCAATATTCCAGCTGTATGACGGCGGCGTGAAAATAATCGAGTCTGGACCATACCAGTGGTTGATATCATGAGCAAAGGGATGCAAAGACAGGCAATCAACTAAGGCACCGAGCCTGAACACTCATTTACTTATTGTTGACAACATAAATAGGTGTTGGGGACATATTTTAACCCGGAGTGTTCACGGAGTGTTTTGCAAATAATAATCTCGTGTTGTTTCTGTGGTTCTCTCATACAATTCACTGACGCCAGTGTTGTTGCCATGGTATTTTCTTGCAGGACGCTGACCCCAGTGTTGTTGCCATGGTATTTTCATGCTGCACGCTGACGTCAGTGTTGTTGCTATGGTATTGTCATGCAGTACGCTGACGTCAGTGTTGTTGTCATGGTATGTTCATGCTGCACGCTGACGTCAGTGTTGTTACCATGGTAATTTCATGCAGGACGCTGACGTCAGTGTTGTTGCCATGGTATTGTCATGCAGGAAGCTGACGCCAGTGTTGTTGCCATGGTATTGTCATGCTGTACGCTGACGCCAGTGTTGTTACCATGGTAATTGCATGCAGGACGCTGACGCCAGTGTTGTTACCATGGTATTTTCATGCAGGACGCTGACGTCAGTGTTGTTGCCATGGTATTGTCATGCAGGACGCTGACCCCAGTGTTGTTGCCATGGTATTTTCATGCTGCACGCTGACGTCAGTGTTGTTGCTATGGTATTGTCATGCAGTACGCTGACGTCAGTGTTGTTGTCATGGCATGTTCATGCTGCACGCTGACGTCAGTGTTGTTACCATGGTAATTTCATGCAGGACGCTGACGTCAGTGTTGTTGCCATGGTATTGTCATGCAGGAAGCTGACGCCAGTGTTGTTGCCATGGTATTGTCATGCTGTACGCTGACGCCAGTGTTGTTACCATGGTAATTTCATGCAGGACGCTGACGCCAGTGTTGTTACCATGGTATTTTCATGCAGGACGCTGACGTCAGTGTTGTTGCCATGGTATTGTCATGCAGGACGCTGACGCCAGTGTTGTTGCCATGGTATTTTCATGCAGGAAGCTGACGCCAGTGTTGTTGCCATGGTATTGTCATGCAGGAAGCTGACGCCAGTGTTGTTACCATGGTATTGTCATGCAGGACGCTGACCCCAGTGTTGTTGTCATGGTATTTCCATGCAGGACGCTGACGTCAGTGTTGTTGTCATGGTATTTTCATGCAGGACGCTGACGTCATTTCTGTTGTCAAGGTATTTTCATGCAGGACGCTGACGTCAGCATGGTTGCCATGGCACTGATATGCACATGCACAGGCACATTGATGACGTGAGGTCAAGGACAGTCATTACAAATAAAGGAGGAGCCAGTGAACGAATATCCCGTTATGTGTGCGTTATCTGACTTACAATACAGGATGATTTAACAGAATACTGCGTTATCAGATTAAAACTACAGTCTGAAAGTTGAAGTAAATCAATAAATAAATGACAATGCAATACAAATCTGCTGCGCGGAAATTGCATACAGTACATTCGTAATACATGAGAATTTTTAACGCCAGGCTTCGATATCCGTGCTGCGTGTGAACCAGCCTGTACATTCATTGGGAATGCAGTGCTTAGAATTAATGCAGGAGCTTAGAATTTCCACTGAAGAAAGTAGGTCAGTTAACTGTAAAATGAATTACAGATATTCTACAGTTGAGGTAAGGTGAGATAAATGGGGTTTAACGTCATGTTAAAAATGATAATTATTGCACTAACAGAGCGCACGCGTGCGTGCGTGAGTGCGTGCGTGCGAGTAGCTGCTTGTACTATTCCGGACTGATGCCGATTTATAGTACTAGCCCACTGAGATACCATGCCACAGTTTAACATGGATACCCCACTCTGACACAGTATACTGACTCCGAGCCGACCAGTCCTTGTTTAGCCTCTAAATGCCAAGCATCAGGAAGGGCAACAACAAGTACGATTTTTATACGTCTTTTGGTATGGTGCTGCCGGGGATCGAACCACGGACCTTCCGCTTTCCGGGCGGACGCTCTACCACTTCTACAGTTGAAACATTAGATTGATGTCATAGCTGTATTTTAACACCGTTAACGCATGAAACAGTGTTATGGCAACATCACGGTTGTAGGATCAGTTTCAGCCGATACCTTGCACAAGATCTGTGTCCGTGGCTGTCGCTGTACCAGCATCTTACACCATGGCATTTAAGGGCACGGTTGGCTGAAG